GTCTCTTCTAAAAATACAAAAAATTTGCCGGTGGTGGCGGGCACCTGTAGTCCCAGCTACTCGGAGGCTGAGGCAGGAGAATGGCGTGAACCTGGGAGGCGGAGCTTACAGTGAGCCGAGATCATGCCACTGCACTCCAGCCTGGGCGACAGAGTGAGACGCCATCTCAAAAAAAATAAATAAATAAATAAAAAATTAACCTGCTCTTAGCATGGGAAACCTCAGTCATCGATGATAGTTCCCAAACCAGCTATTGTCTAAGAATTATTAAGATTTGACTTGGTATAACATTTTGGGTAATACATTAGGCTAAGTTAATTTGAAAGAAGTTTTACTGTAAATCAAAACAGGACCATTAAACTACTGAAATATAATTATTTAAAAAGGGCCCCCATTTTTTGGTGAACAAAACTGAAATGAGGCTGTAATGGAGAGCCTTCTTTCACAGAATGGTTAAATCTCCTTTAAGAGTTTCATTATATGTTTTTATAACTTGACTTACAAATAGTGAATGAACTAAAGACTTTCTCATAGTTCCGATCTGCTTATCAACCTTGCAAAACTTGGAGTCTATTTGGAAATAAATAAGAACTGAAACTGCATTTAGGGATGAGTTCAGTCAGGTTCTATTGGGTTAGACTTTGAGTATGAAAGCATTTTTTTTAAATATATAAACTTTATTTTAGAGTAGTTTTTGGTCACTGGGTGTGGTGGCTCATGCCTGTAATCCCAGCACTTCGGGAGGCCGAGTCTGGTGGATCATGGGGTCAGGAGTTCGAGACCACCCTGACCAACATGGTGACACCCCATCTCTGCTAAAAATGCAAAAAGTTAGCCAGGCATGGTGGCACGTGCCTGTAATCCCAGCTACTAAGGAGGCTGAGGCAGGAGAATTGCTTGAACCCAGGAGGCAGAGGTTGCAGTGAGCTGAGATCGCGCCGTTGCACTCCACCCTGGGCGACAGAGTGATACTCCATCTCAAAAAAAAAAAAAAAAAAGAATAGTTTTAGATATACAGAGACATTGCAAAAACTGTACAGAGTCCCTGTATAAACCTCACCCACCTGTATACCTATTGTTAGTATCCTGCATTACTACAGGATATTGTCACAACTAAGCAACCAACTTTGATATGTTACTATTAACTAAATCGCACAGTTCAGATCTTTAGTTTTTTTCCAAATATTCTTTTCATTCCAGGATCCCACAATTACATTCATTTAACCACCTCAGATAGTTTTGTTTTTAATGACTTCAGATTCCCAACCTTTTATTTTCACATCAGATGGGTAATGTCCTGATGTAACAAGGTGTGAAGGAGGCACATCTAACACAGAAGTGTGAAGGCCCAGTCATCATGCTTATGAACTACAGAAGGATCTCAGACTTGGTTTTGATGACCATGACAGTGTTAAGGAGTACTAGTTGGTTTTGTAGAATGTCTGATTTTTGTATTTTGAATGTCTTGTTTTTGTAGTTTTCTGATTGTTTTCCTTCTGGTCTTAGGAGGAAGACCAAAAAGGGGCATTTTCATCACATCAAGGGTACCTGTTATTAATAGGGCTTATCACTCATGATATTAATACAAATGTTGATCACCTGGCCAAGATAGTGTTTGCCAGGTTACTATACAATTTTTTTTTCCTCTTTACATATTGTACTCAAAGCAAGTGACTAAGCACAATCCGTACTCGAAAGGTGGGGAGTTAAGCTCCATCTCCTTGAAGTGGGGGAGGTGGTATCTACATAATTATTTGGGCTTTTTCTGTATAGGAGAGATGCTACTGCTCCTTCATCAGGTCATTTATATCAATATGGACTCATGGGTACTTACTTTATCCTTTGGGTTATAATCCTAAGCTGCATTATTTACTTTGTTGCTGAGATTTGTTTCATCTTTGGCCCTTGGGCATTCTATCAGTTGGCTCCCGTGCCCCTTTCACATACCTACATCCTTGTTTGTGGAATACTTCTTTACTTTCTGGCACTACAAGATACCCTCGACGGAGAATCAGCCATTTCTCTAGGGAGCCCTGATTCCTTTTCTTGGAGAACAGTATTAGAAAACAAGATCTGGGCATTGGATGTACCCGTTGCTGCTGGCATGTCTGCTGCTAGGCCCTCTCAGTGAACAGAGAGATATGCATATGTAGTAACTGAAATATACACACATAATTGTAATTACTTTCTGAATTCTTCTGGGAAGCACAGTGTTTTAAAAAAATAGTAAAATATACATAAAACCTGCTGTTTTAACCATTTTAAAGCGTACATTTATGTGGCATTAAGTGCATTCACATTGCTGTGCAACCATTACCACCATCTGTCACCAGAATTTCTCATCTTCCTCCAACACAAACTGTACCTATTAAACCCTGACTCCCCATTCTGCTCTTCCTTAAGCCCCTGGGAACCATCGTTTTACTTTCTTTATGCTTTTGACTATTCTAGGTACTTAGTGTAAGTGGAGTCATACAATATTTGTCCTACGTATGACCGGCTTATTTCACTTATCATGTCCTTAAGGCTCATCTATATCGTAGCATGTGTCAGAATTTGTTCTTAAAGTTGAATAATATTCAGTCGTATGCATATACTAAATTTGGTTTACCCATTCATCCATTGATGGACACCTGGGTTGTCTCTACCTTTTGGCTATTTTGAATAATAGGGCTGTAAACACAGGTGTACAAGTATCTATAGAAGTTCCTGCTTTGAATTCTTTGGGGTGTATACCCAGAAATGGGTTTGCTGGATTATATATGGCAATTGTTTTTTTTTTTTTTTTCAGAAATCACCATACTGCTGTACCATTTTACATTCCCACCAACTGTGTACCTGAGTTCCAGTTTCTCTATGTCCTTGTCAACACTTGTTCTACTTTTTTGATAATAGCCACCTTAATAGGTTTATAAATTGGTATCTCATTGTGGTTTTGATTTGTACACTTCCCCAGTGATTACTGATGTTGAGCTTTTCATGAACTTATTGGACATTTCTACATCTTTTTGCAAGAAGTGTCTATTCAAGTACTTTGCTCATTTTTTCAGGCTTTTTATTGTTGCAGGATTTCTTATTTACAAATGTTTTCTCCCATTCCTTGGGTTGCCTTTTCATTCTGCTGATAGTGTCCCTTGATGCACAAATTTTTAATTTTGCTGAAGTCCAATCTTTTTTTCCTTTTGTTGGCTGTGCTTTTGATCATACCCAGTAAATTACTGCTAAATTCAATGTCATGAAGCTTTTCCTTTATTTTTTTTCATTTTGAGACGGGGTCTTGCTCTGTCGCTTAGGCTGGAGTACAATAGTGCAGTCTCAGTTCACTACAACTTCCACCTCCCAGGTTCACGCAATTCTCCTGCCTCAGCCGCTTGAGTAGCTGGGATTACAGGTGCCCACCACCACACCTGGCTAATTTTCATATTTTTAGTAGAGATGGGATTTCACCCTATTGGCCAGGCTGGTCTCCAACTCCTGACCTCAGGTGATACACCTGCCTCAGCCTCCCTAAGTGCTGGGATTACAGGCGTGCACCACCACGCCAGGCCAATAATTCTTTTTCTTCTTTTTAAGAATTTAATAATTCTAGCTGTTTTTCTTCCAGCCTTATTGGATGGAACTAGTTCTTGATGCATTTTAATATTTGCATATGGTGTAAGGGTCCAACTTTTGTTGTTTTTTGGTATGTAGCTATCCAATTTTCCCAACACCATTTGTTGAAAAGACCATATTTTCTCCACTGAATGGCCTTGGCACCCTTGTCAAAAATCATCTGACCATATGTGTAAAGATTTACTTCTAGGCTCTTTTTCTATTCCATTGGTTTATATGCTAATTTTTATGCCAGCACCATACTGTTGGTTACTGTAGTTTTGTGTTAAACTTTGAGATCAGGAAGTATAAGACCTCCAACTTTGTTCTTTTTCAAGATTATTTTGAGTATTTCAGGGGGCAGTCTCTTGACATTCTGTATGAATTCTAGGATAGATTTTTCTATTTCTGCAGAAATGTTGGGATTTTCATAGGGACTATTGAATTTGTAGATTACTTTGGGTAGTATTGACATCTTAACAATATTAAGTCTTTGTCTCCATGAAAATATACATTTTTTTTTTCTTGGCCTCCCAAAGTGCTGGGATTACAGGTGTGGGCCACTGTGCCCTGCCAAATGTGATACTTCTATGTCTTAATTTTGTATGGCAACATTTTGAAGTTTTCAATGTACAAGTCTTTGCCTCTTTGGTTCAGTTTATACTATTGTAAATGATGGAAAGCACAATTTTAAAGGAAGATAGGCATACCATTAAGTCATGGTATTCATGACTTGGTCTCCTTGCTTTTATGGGAGGCTGCACTAATAACTAAAGATCTTTGGGACGCTGTATACATTTTTTTTTTTTTTTTGAGATGGAATCTTGCTCTGTTGCCCAGGCTGAAGTGCAGTGGCGTGATCTCAGCTCACTGTAACCTCTGCCTCCCGGGTTCAAACGATTCTCCTGCCTCAGCCTCCCCAGTAGCTGGGATTACAGGCACACGCCACCATGCCTGGCTAACTTCTGCATTTATTTATTTATTTATTTAGTTTATTTATTTTAGTTGAGACGGGGTTTCACCACGTTGGCCAGGTTGGTCTCGAACTCCTGACCTCAAGTGATCCGCCTGCCTTGACCTCCCAAAGTGCTGGGATTACAAGTGTGAGCCACCGTGCCCAGCCTAAAAAATTTTTTTTAAAGGCTAATATTTATGTGTAATTCTAAGTAAAGTCTCAAGTGACTATTCCTCCTTATATTGTGTTACAAATATCTTTTCAAATTAATTTAAAATTAATTATAAAATAACTTTTGCTAATTTAGGGCAACACTCCTTTAGTCCATTTTGTTCTCCACATTATGTATAGCACCTATAAGAGTGCTGGTTCATGTAGGTGGCCAAAAAATAAAGACTCAAAACACAAATGTTATTTAGGGTAAAAAAAAGACAATCAACAAACTAGGCTAGAATTATTCGATTTTATTTTTCCCCAGAACTGTTAAACTTCAGCTTCACCAAGTAACAGGCTGACTTTTGGAATAACAACTCTTTCCCAAGCTATTAACTCTTTCCAAGAGACAGAATTTATTAAAAAACATGGTTCCAGGATATTTCCTCCCCAGAATTCTAAACCAGTCACAGAAAGAATCATACCTTCTTAGGTCTTGATTAGAATGAAACAATCTATAGACACATGTAACAGAATCAAAATAGTATATATTGTTTCTTGCCTTCTCTTGCTCAATACACTTCTCTCTTTCCCCTTAAGAGTTTGTTACTCAAAGATGTGTAAGTACAGTCAGCCGTCCATATCCATGGGTTCTGCATCCATGGATTCAACCAACTGCCAATCAAAAATATTCAGAAGAAAAAAATTCCACAAAGTTCCAAAAAAGCAAAACTTGAATTTGCCGAACACCCAGCACTATGTTGAATCCATGCAAATGAAGTGATGTGTAGGTATTTTATTAGGTCTAAGTAATCTTCAGATGATTTAAAGTACACAGGAGGATGTATGTAGGTTATATGCAAATACCACATAACCCATTCTATATAATGGGACTTGAGCACCCATGGATTCTGATATCCAGTTGGGTTCCTGGAACCAAACCCCCATGGATACCAAGGGATGACTGTATTGCCCTTTCCAGGAAAGCATCTATCACCTTTCATTCATGACTCAGAATAAGGAACTCCTTATTCAAACGTAAGTATTCCAAGCTAACTGTTCTCAGCCATCAACAAATTAAACTTGGCCAGGTGTGGTGGCTCATGCCTGTAATCTCAGCACTGTGGAAGTGAAGGTGGGAGGACTGCTTAAGCCCAGGAGTTTGAAACCAGGCTGAGCAACCAATGAGACCCCACTAAAAAAAAAAAAAAATAGGCCAGCCCCAGCTACTTGGGAGGCTAAGGTGGGAGGATTGCTTGAGGCCCAGGAGAACAGGGATTCAGTGAGCTGTGATTGCACTACTGCACTCCAGCTTGGGCAACAGAACAAGACCCTGTCTCAAGAAAACAAACTTATTTTACTCTATATTTGACTTTGCTTTAATCAATATCTTCTATTTGCAAAAGCCAAACCCTATTTTTAAAACTCCTTACAATTTCCATTATGACTTGGAGAGGAAGATGGAGGGAACTGGGAAGAGTTGGCTTATTTTGTGGAAGGAGATTCTGAAAAGGGCAGTTATTTACTTTGAAGTCATTGAGTAGAAAAACAAATATTATTTTTTTTGATAATGAAAACCCTTGTAGGTAAAGACCAGAAAATTCTAGTCCTGAAATTATAATATATTACAATATTGTTTTCAGTACATTCAGAATTTATATTACTTTTTAATTTCTTTTCCCTGAGATTGGGTTCACAGTTTGGTAGAAATACTTTAAAGAGGTAGTTAGTAGGGGTGAAGAGGAAACAATGTTTATGCTAACAGCACCTGGAAAAATAAGTAACATCTGTCATTTTGATCTCAGCATGTGTCTCTCCCCCTTGAATCTGCAAATGTAACAGAAGGAGATGATCATTTTCCTTTTTATTCTTATCTGCCTAGACTCTCTCCTATTACATCCACCCCAGTATCACTAATAAAAATGAGTTGCCCTTCCAAAGATATGCTATAAAGCAAACCCTCAATGTCAGGTTGTTTAGATTTAGAAGAGAAAGGCTCAAGTGAGTTCACTTTTATTCATACAGTCATTAGGGAAAATGAGCAAAATTTCCAGTAACCCCAACCACTGCCTTTTCTCCCTGGACCTAGTTAATTCCTATCAACTCTTTAGTTGACTCTAAGAACTGGGCTCTATGAGATCCTGACAGCTAAAACACCGGTACAGAAGAGCCTGCATAAACGTTTTGGTCCAGGTCTTGGCCTTCAGTCTTATGATGGGCTGGTGGAATATTGCTTCATCAGATGCTTGTGACAGGGATTGCAAACTCGCTCAGGCTTGATACTTGAAGGAAGAGGCAGTTCATTTGTTGAACAGGCATCACAGAAGGTTCCTCTGCAGTTCTTACACACATTCTACGAGGAGAAGAGGAGGTTAGGCGGGGAATAGAAGAGGTGTAAGGCATAAGGATTCATGGGATATAAAAAGCCAAATGTGGCAAATGCTCCATGCCTAATCAAACAATGACTGGATGTTTACTATGTACCAGATAGTATCTGAACACAGGCCCAATCTACAAAAAAGTTCACAGTCTAGTTTTTAGATTTAAATGAAAAGAAGCAGTGCCGTAGAGTTAAAAATAAAAACAGGAAACATAAAAATCACTTATATTTAGAATATACTTCACACATTTGTTCCCCATACTCACTTTGAGGTAGGTTAGTTTTAAAATTAGTTTGCAAGTACCCGTGCATACACCAAATAAGGCAGTGAAAGAGCAATGGATTGAGTGAACAGGCTAGGATTAAAAAATGTGCTGAGTACGAACTGAAAGTGTAATTCCTAATACACTGATGTGGTTAATGCTTTCCTGTGATCTCTGGTGCTCTAAGCACATCTGCTGGGTTATAAGTGCAGCAGGAGCACAGCTTCCTGCATCTCGTTCATAGGAAATTGTTTGGTTTTCCTAAATGTTTTGCATCTTTAATGGTCAAGCACTGAGAGAGCAAGAAGTCACTATAGCAATGTCAGCAGTAAGGCTGTGACAGGGTGGTATACACAAAGCTCCAAGCGTCCTCTATAAAAAGCTGTGAAGAATAATTTCTCCCATGAAGTGCTACCTTCATGTCAAATAATTCATGCTCCTGAGGGTGAGAGGAGTAGGGGGTTGCTTTCATTTGAAAGCCTGAGAATTTTTGTCTGACACATAGAAGTTAAAGTTGCATGGCTTAGAAGAGGAAAGCCAGAATGAACAGTTTTCTTTTATTTTGTAACATGTTTCTATAACTCCCAGTTCTATAAGGGCAGTTTATCTGTTCTCTGACTCTGTGAATTTAAGAGTAGGTCATACTATAATTTCATTTGTTGAAATTTGGCACGATCACAGATGGTGCTATGCAGGTCGTGATCCAGAATTTGAGCCTGTTTCCTGTATCTCTTCCAAGCACGTGTTTCATACGTTCATTTGTACATAACTTTTCTTGAGCATCTCCTATGGATTGGATACCATATTAGATGCTGGGGGATTCTGTGAACAAGACACAGGTCCAGCTATCAAGGGCACTCGTTCTTTCTGAATACTTCCCTAACTCTGCCTACCCTAGAGTAACAAACTGGGAAGGTGCTCAGGCAGACACCCTTGAGGATCGGGTGGAAAACAAGTGGTCTAGCGGGGAGAGTTCATATTCTGTTCTGAGCAGGATAAAGTGCTGAAAGGACTGTGGACTTTGGAGCTAAAGCTAGGTTGGAACCTGGGCTTCATAACTTATGACTTAACTTTGGGAAATATAGTTAGCATTAGATGTTCAACGTTCTCCATTTATAAAATGACAGCTATGAAAGACATAAGCTTGAAAAGAACAGAGACTTGGTCTACTTTGTTCATTACTTTTTCTCCAGCACGTTCTACACAGCAGGCACTCAATATTTACTCATACATTTCTATCTGCTTATTTGCTTTAAATTACATAATTTTTTGTTTATTTTTAGACAGGTTGCTCTGTTGCCCAGGTTGGCGAGCAATGGCGCGATCTTGGCTCACTGCAACCTCCGCCTCCCAGGTTCAAGCGATTCTCTTGTCTCAGCCTCCTGAGTAGCTGGGATTACAGGCGCCAGCCACCACGCCTGGCTAATTTTTTTTTTTGGTATTTTTAGTAGAGATGTGGTTTCACCATGTTGGTCAGGCTGGTTTTGAACTCCTGACCTCGTGACCCACCCACCTCAGCCCCCCAAAGTGCTGGGATTACAGGCATGAGTCACTGCGCCTGGCTTCTATTTATGTTTATTTTAACGGAAATTTACTGACACGAATTATGATGACTGAAAAAATAACAGGTACCCAGTAAATGCTTGCCCCTTTTGCTTTTCACCCCACCCCCAGCACTGTGAGCATGCACTCTGCACTCCATGCGGCAAAGTCCCTGTTACGCCTGGGGAGGGACTGGGGGGTGCTGTAGATATTCCTATGAAAAACCTGTCTGTTTCTCACCACAGTTACCTTTGTTAGGCTGCCATCTTCCTGACATAGCTGACACACCTGTGGCTTTCCAGAGAGCAGCAGCTGATCCTAAACCACACAGTGAGCCGGTTAGTTTTTCTTAGTGCCAGAAATATTAGTACTTTCAGAATATGCCTTTTTTACCTACAATATTAATATAATCACACTATAGACTATCTGGAAACTAAATAGACCAATTACGAATAGGTAGTCCTACCACCATAATACCACTCGGAGAATCCCATCATTATGCTTCCAGCTCTTAGTTTTTATAATAACGTGATTTTACTTCTAAAACGAAAATCCAACACATGCAAGTATAGAGTAAAAAGTTTTAACACCATCCCATTCCTCTTGCTTCACTCTACCATCAAGAATGGAAAGCACTGGGGGCTGGGCCTGGTGGCTCACACCTGTAATCCCAGCACTTTGGGAGGCCAAGGTGGGTGGATCACGAGGTCAGGAGTTCAAGACCAGCCTGGCTGACATGGCGAAACTCCATCTCTACTAAAAATACAAAAACAAAAACAAAAACCAAAAAAAAAAGCAAAGCTGGACATGGTGATGGGCGCCTGTAATCCCAGCTACTCAGGAGGCTGAGGCAGGGGAATCACTTGAACCTGGGACGTGGAGATTGCAGTGAGCTGAGATTGTGCCACAACACTCCACACTGGGTGACAGAGTGAAACTCTGTCTCAAAAAAAAAAAAAAAAAAAAAAAAAAAGAATGGCAAGCATTGGGCATGGAAGCTCACACCTGTAATCCTAGCACTTCGGGAGGCCAAGGTGGGAAGATCACTTGAGCCCAGCCTGGGCAACATGATGAAACCTTATCTCTGTAGTCCTAGCTACTTGGTAGGCAGAGGTGGGAGGACTGCCTAAGCTCAGGAAGTCAAGGCTGCAGTGAGTTGAGATCGTCCACTGTACCCCAGCTTGGGCAATACGAGTGAGACCTTATCTCCATTTAGAAAAAAAAAAAAGGATAGCACTAGGATTTATTTTATTTTATAACCGGAGAGGTAAATAACAGGGTGACTCAGACATAGTAGCATTCACTGTCTTTCTCATGGGCTTGTCATAAACTATTAGATTCACAAAGTGTTTTATAATCATTTATGTTAGCTTATTTCTAAGTGATCAAAGCATCTTTTTTCTCTCCATTTTATGTAAAAGAAAACTAGCGGAAAGGGATGTAAAGTGAACTCTCCTAGGTCTTATGTCAGGGATAATTTAAAATGTGAGAACGGATGTTTACTTAGTAAACTGTTCAGAGCTGTGCTACTTCCTGTGCGAGCTTCAGGCAATATGTATTTGTTCAGGGTATTGTTAGAAGGATGGTACACTGTATTCACGCATCTTCCGCCCATGCTACCTTATTTGCTGGCTAGGCACGGTTCAACCAACTTCATAATTTATACAAGATGTTTTGAAACAGGAGGCTGTGTTACCTGTTCATCCGTAGGGTGGGGTTGCAGCCTACAATGGAGAAGTAAAAAATCGTGACAAATAGGAACTTTATATTTCCATTTGTATCATTTCAATAAAAAGCTCAAAATAGAAACATTTTTTCAAACAAGAAATACTGTAGGTCTTTTATATTACTAAGAACAACATAATTATTGATTTTGACCTCCAAGGAGAGGAAATTTTCTTCTTAAAATGAATCACTAGAATCTGACCATTGACTTATTATATTAGGGTTCCCATTTAAAAACAGATGAAGTTACATTTTACATTCCTTTTTGCTATCAAAATATTCCCAATGTGTAAAACTCCAATGAGTAAAACTTCCCAATGTGTAAAACTCCAATGGTTCACTGGCCATATATTTTAGTAGCTTTTTTCTATTTGATATTATGGAAATCTATACATTATCCATTATCACGTTATATATTAGTCCTAAATATTCTTAAGATGTGAGCTTTAGCAAATTAATCCAAGAAGGGGAAATGAATGAGACTGTCACCAGAAAACCCATTCAGGTTGAAATATTTCTTCATGAGACTAAGCTGAACTAACTCTGATGTTCCCAGCATGGACTAGAGCCTAAATTAGAGGCGAAGCAAAGCCCGCTCTCAGTTACAGGGAAAATGCACTACAGATTGCAATGGTTCCTATTCTTTTCACTTGAGTAGCAGTGTGACCACCAGACATACACCATGGGGTGACCAGATTTTCTGATGTTCCTTGCCATCATAATCCCAGGAAGCCTAGTATGTCTAACGATTGCAGCTATGACCAGAATAAGTCCTGGAAGTTGCTAATAGGTAGTGCAGAGCCAAAGCACTTAAAAACAGTAGACATGATAAACAGAAGCAACTTGGATAAGTCACTCAGCCTCTCTGTGCGTCTCAGTTTTCTCATCTGTAAAGTTGCATTAGACAGTTTTGTAAGGAATATTAAATCATAAGGAGATAATGAAGGTAAAACAAATTCTAAGTTGCAGAGCACAATTCAATTCAGATAAAAAGAAGCACTATTCTATATTCTCAGGACCTAAATCAGAAGTTGGCATTTAATAGACACTCCTGATTGCTCAAGTAAATGACTTGATGTTAGTTTGGAACTAGGCTGACCCTGAAAGGCACCTGGAAGCCCAGGTTAATTTTATGGCCCTTCTAGTTCCCTTCTCTTTGCTTATGCCGATCTGTAATGTGAGATGGGTGACAGTTTAAGGTTAGCTCTGGATCAAACCATGCTCTTTGGGAGCAAAATTAAAGACTTTGGAATCATTCTGGCCTTTAAGGCAAGAAATGGGCATTTAGGCCAAGCACCTGCAAACTGGACTGTGTAATTTCTCCAGCAGCTGCTTTTGCTCCAGATGACACACTACCTCATTTTTTTTTTTTTTTTTTGAGATGGAGTCTTGCTCATTGCCCAGGCTGGAGTGCAGTGGCGCGATCTCGGCTCACTGCAAGTTCCACCTCCCGGGTTCACGCCATTCTCCTGTCTCAGCCTCCCGAGTAGCTGGGACTACAGGCGCCCCCGCTACCACACTCGACTAATTTTTTGTATTTTTAGCAGAGATGGGGTTTCACCGTGTTAGCCAGGATAGTCTCGATCTCCTGACCTCGTGATCCGCCCGCCTCGGCCTCCCAAAGTGCTGGGATTACAGGCGTGAGCCACCGCGCCTGGCCACTACCTCATTCTTAAGGTGACACAGCCTGGCTAGGGACAGCTGTATAGTTCTCTCAAAACCTCACTATGGTATCCTTCCTCATCACTAACTGCTTCCTCCACCTTTTAACGTAGACCTTTATGTTTAGAGCAGTTAGATTCATAGTCAAATTGAGTAGAAGGTACAGAGACTTCCCACATGCCTCCTGCCCCATCCCTGGTCTCTTTATCAACATGCTGTACCAGAGTGGTACATTTGTTACAACTGATGAACCTACACTGACACAACATCATCACCCAGAGTCTACAGTTCACATTAAGGTTCACTCTTGGTGGTGTCTATAGTCTATGGTGTGGTCAAATGTATAATGACATGTACCCAGCATCACAGTATCATACAGAGTAGTCCACTGCCCTAAATATCCTCTGTGCTCCACCTGTTCATTCCTCCCTTCCCTTACCACTGGCAACCACTGATTTTTTTAATTGTCTCCATAGTTTTGTCTTTTCCAGAATGTCATATAACTGGACCTCCTTCACTTTTTAATGCAGTGGCACTATGTAATATTTAATTATATTTCTAACCTGGTAAAATAAGTACAAAAAGTCAGCTTCCTTGAAACTATCCTATGCTCTTCATCGTGAGCAAATCAGATAGAGTTAGGAAAAAGGAATAGAGTTAAGCTGTTTGAGATTCTCAAGAGAAAGAAAAAATGAGATGAGAGATAAGAGAAATCAGAGTACTTATTTATTTATTTATTTATTTTTTTGAGACGGAGTCTCACTGTATTGCCCAGGCTGGAGTGCAGTGGCGCTATCTTGGCTCACTGCAACCTCTGCCTCCTGGGTTCAAGTAATTCTCCTGCCTCGGCCTCCCAAGTAGTTGGGATTACAGGCAGGTACCACCAGACCCGACTAATTTTGTATCTTTAGTAGAGACAGGGTTTCACCATGTTGGCCAGGCTGGTCTCGAACTTCTGATCTTAGGTGATCCACCTGTCTCGGCCTCCCAAAGTGCTGGGATTATGGGCATGAGCCACTGCGCCCAGCCACTTATTTGAAATTTAGCACATAGGTAGAAACAAGTCATACTCAAATATATTTAAGAAGCTAAGGAATGCTATGTATGACTTATACTTTATTCTCCTGGGAAACCAATTCAGTAAAGGTGGGAAATAACCTCTTAAGTGATCATTTGAGCTTGGGAATTAATCAGGGAAGAGAGAGAGGACAGCCTGATCATCCTTTCCTCTGAAATGGCCTAATGGGTTTGGTTTAATACAAGTTATATGGTTTATTATTTACTAACTTCCACTTAGAATGTCTTCCTGGCATATTAATATTATAAGTCAGTGTCTGGTCGGTGTCAATGCCAATGTATATAAAAAACTCGCCCCTTCCCACCACCCCAGAATAACTTTACATCTTAGTTAATACTTGATTAACAAACACCTGTGGCTTTCTTCCAGGGGCTTTTTTAGTTTAACATTTTCCTCTTGCATGCTGTGCTTCCCATCCTGCCAAAAGAAAACAGCCCCGTTTATTAATTATTCAGAATGCTAAACAACGATGATATTGCACATATTTTCTTCTGCAATGCCTTAGTTTGGGTATAAAGCTAAGTAACTTTTTTTTTTTTTTAATCAGGGAAGGGATCTAACTTTCAAGCTATGTTTCCTCATTCTTTGCTCTAAGTAGTTTCTTAACTATTCTGATAGTTTGTGACAAATGATTTTCAAAGTAGATATTTTAATTCTTGAGATTCAAATAAAATTCAGAATGTATTCTATTTACTTGCAAAGTTGGCTCATGATATCAGCTACTCCTTAGAGGAAGTATAATTTTTTTTTTCTTTCCCCCAGACTGAGCTCTGAAAAACTGGTAAAACCAAAGATGGCCATATCCATCAGACTATAATCCTCTGGATGTTCAATCAAGTTGATGCCCGAGGGCCACAACTTTTTTTTTTCCTGAGACAGGATCTCGCTCTTGTCACCCAGGCTGGAGTACAGTGGTGCCATCTTGTCTCACTGCAACCTCTGCCTCCCAGGTTCAAGTGATTCTTGTGCCTCAGCCTCCTGAGTAGCTGGAATTATAGGTATGCACCACCATGCCTAGCTAATTTTTGTATTTTTAGTAAAGACGAGGTTTCACCATGTTGGCCAGGCTGGTCTCGAACTCTTCACCTCAAGTGATCCGCCCGGGTTCAAGTGATTCTTGTGCCTCAGCCTCCCGAGTAGCTGGGATTACAGGCAGGCGCCACCATGCCCAGCTAATTTTTGTGTTTTTAGTAGAGACGGGGTTTCACCGGCCGGGCCTGGTGGCTCAAGCCTGTAATCCCAGCACTTTGGGAGGCCGAGACGGGTGGATCACGAGGTCAGGAGATCGAGACCATCCTGGCTAACACGGCGAAACCCCGTCTCTACTAAAAAATACAAAAAAAACTAGCCGGGCGAGGTGGTGGGCGCCTGTAGTCCCAGCTACTCCGGAGGCTGAGGCAGGAGAATGGCGTGGACCCGGGAGGCGGAGTTTGCAGTGAGCTGAGATCCGGCCACTGCACTCCAGCCTGGGCTACAGAGTGAGACTCCGTCTCAAAAAAAAAAAAAAAAAAAAAGAGATGGGGTTTCACCATGTTGGCCAGGCTGGTCTCAAAGTCCTGACCTCAAGTGATCCATCCGTCTTGGCCTCACAAAGTGTTGGAATTACAGGCATGAACCACCCAGTGCCACCATCTCTATAGCCTGTTCAACTCAAGCAGTTTTCTACTTGGCAGGACAGATGTAGTTCCAAACTGCATTTCTTTCTTTTTTTTTTTTTTTTTGGAACGGAGTTTTGTTCTGTCGCCCAGGCTGGAGTGCCGTGACCTGGTCTCGCGTCCTTCTCCTGCCTCGCCACCGGACTAGCGGGGATGATAGGCGCCCACTACCACGCCTGGCTAATTTTTGTATTTTAGTAGAGACGGGGTTTCACCATGTTGGCCAGGATGGTCTTGAACTCCCAATCCAGGTAGTCCGCCCGCCTTGGCCTCCCAAAGTGCTGGGATTACAGGCGTGAGCCACTGCGCCCAGCCTCAAACTGTTTTTCTACCAATACTCTTAAGCTCTGCCTGGGCAACTTTTGTTTGTTTTGCAGACAGAGTCTCAGTCTGGCACCCAGTCTGGAGTGCTGTGGTGTGATCTTGGCTCACTGCAACCTCTTCCTCCCGGTTTCAAGCGATTCTCTGGCCTCAGCATCAGGAGTAGCTGGGATTACAGGTACAGCCGCCAGGCCCGAATACTTTTTTGTATTTTAGTAGAGATAGGGTTTCACCATGTTGCCCAGGCTGGTCTCAAACTCCTGAGCTCAGGCAATCCACCCACCTTGGCCTCACAAAGTGCTGGGATTACAGACGTAAGCCCCAGAGCCTGGCCAGGTGCTGGGCAGTTTTTAGGGGTACATTTTTTTCTGTGGCACACACACCCACTGCTGCTTGCCTTCAGCTGTTGCCTATGTGCATCCAAAAGTGGAATGTGTATTCTTTTTGTTTGTTTTTTGAGACAAGGTCTCATGCTGTTGCCCAGGCTGGAGTGCAGTGGCATGATCACAGCTCACTGCAGCCTCGACCTCCTGGGCTCAAGTGATCCTCCCACCTCAGCCTCCTGAGCAACTAGGACTATAGGCACGAGCCACCACACCCGGATAATTTTTAAATTTTTTTTGTAGAGATGAGGTCTCCCTATGTTGCCCAGGCTAGTCTCTTACTCCTGGGATCAAGCAATCTTCATGCCAACAGCCTCCCAAAGTGCTAGGATTACAGGTGTGAGCCACCCAGCTGAAACATGTGTTCTTACACCACTCAAGTATCAAGGAAGAGAGGTCAATGCTTATCCTCCTGGAAATGCCACTGCAAGTAACAACTGGAGATTGAAAAACTTAAAACTTCACTGGAAAAATAGGGTGAGATAGGTCAAGATTTTAAGTAAACTCTTGTAAGCCTTTTAGATTTTATGTTCACTAAATTAAAATAATAAAGATAGCATGCTACAGAGAGTGGTTATTTTAATTTTATTTATTTATTTATTTTTGAGATGGAGTCTCGCTCTGTCGCCCAGGCTGGAGTGCAATGGCATGGTCTTGGCTCACTGCACCCTCCGCCTCCCAGGTTCAACTAATTCTCCTGCCTCAGCCTCCCGAGTAGCTGGGATTACAGGAGCCCACCACCATGCCTAGCTAATTTTTGTATTTTTAGTAGAGATGGGGTTTCACCATGTTGGCCAGGCTGGTCTTGAACTCCTGACCTCGTGATCTGCCCACATCGGCCTCCCAAAGTGCTGGGATTACAGGTGTGAGCCACTGTGCCTGGCCTAGAGTGGTTCTTTGTACACTTTAAATTATTAGTAGTGATACTATTTAATAAATTTCCACATACCATCATTTTCTACTTGCCAGTAAATTAGCAGCTCACTCTCTAGAAATTTTAAAAAGTTTATGAACTCTTCCTGCTTTGTTGTATACTAGAGGTATTCAAAAAGTTCATGGAAAATGCATATTACAGAAAGACTGTGCATGGACTTCAAAAATTTTTTTGCAGCAAAATAAACTTGTACTAACTTATTTTAATATATCTGACCAGGATTTGGTTTGAGTCACTAAAAAGGATAAGATATCAGTTTGAAAGAACCCCTGGCTGGGCATGGTGGCTTGTGCCTGTCATTCTAGCACTTTGGGAGGCTGAGGTGGGCATATCGCTTGAGCCCAGGAGTTCAAGACCAGCCTAGACAACATGGCAAGACCCCGACTCTACCAAAAAAATACAAAAATTAGCTGAGCGCTGTGGTGTGTGCCTATAGTCCCAGCTGCTCGGGAGGCTGAGGCGGGTGTATCACCTGAGCCTGGGAAATCGAGGCTGCAGTGAGGCATGATCGTGCTACTGTACTCCGTTCTAGGTAAGAGTGAGACTCTGTCTTTAAAAAAAAAAAAGAAAGGAAAAGAAAAAAGGAAGAGCCCCTATCAGAGTAACATGAATTCTGCTAAAATTGAAGCAAGAACAAACATCAAATTCATGGTGAAGCATGGATGGAAGAATTGTGAAATTATTGATGCTTTACAAAAAGCTTTTGGGGACAATGCCCCAAAGAAATCAGCAGTTTACAAAACGATAACTCATTTTAAGAAGGGGCCAGAGGATGTTGAAGATGAAGTCTGCAGTAGCAGACTATCCACATCAATTTGTGAGGATCTTATTCATGCTCTAATTAAAGAGGAACAATGATTAACAGTAGAAACAACAGCCAATACCACAGATATCTCAACTGGTTTGGCTTATACAATTCTGGCTGAAAAATTAAAGTCGAGTAAACTTTCTACTTGATGGGTGCCAAAACTGTTGTGCCCATATCAGCTGCAGACAAAAGTATAGCTTTCAATGGAAATTATAAACAACTGGGATCAAGAACCTGAAGCATTTGTTTGAGAAATTATAACAGGAGATGTAACAACTTCATAGTACAATCCTGAAGACAAAGCACAATCAAAGCAATGGCTATGAAGAGGTGGAAGTGGTGCAATAAAAGCAAAAGCAGACAGGTCAAGAGCAAAGGTCATGGCAACAATTTTTAGGGATGCTGAAGGCACTTTGCTTGTTGACTTTCTGGAAGGCCAGAGAATGCCAACATCTGCTTATTGTGAAAGTGTTTTTAATTTTTTTTTTTTTTTTTGAGACAGAGTCTTGCTCTGTCACCCAGGCTGGAGTGCAGTGGTGTGATCTTGACTCACTGCAACCTCCACCTCCCAGGTTCAAGTGATTCTCGTGCCTCAACCTCCCAAGTAGCTGGGACTAGAGACTAGAGGCACATGCCACCACACTCGGCTAATACTTGTGAGTCTGTTTTGAGAAAGTCAGCCAACGCTTTAGCATAAAAATGCCCAGGAAAGCTTCAACAGAGAGTCCTATCCCACCAGAAATATGCTCCTAACTCATTCCTCTCATCAAACAAGGGCAATTCTGTGAGTTACAATGGGAAATCACTAGGCATCCACTTTACAGTCCTGAGTTGGCTCTTCTGATTTCTGTTTCCTAATCTTAAAACATCATTAAAGGGCACCAATTTTTCTTCAGTTAATAATGTGAAAAGATTATATTGATATGGTTCAATTCCTAGGAGCCTCAGTTCTTCAGGGATGGCCTACATGACTGGTATCATCACTTACAAAAGTCTCTTGACCTTGATGGAACTTAGGTTGAGAAATAAAGTTTATATATTTTTACCTTTTAATTCCATTTCCCAAGATCTTTTTGAAGTCCCCTTGAATAATAAGTATACACAGGAGGCAATTTTTTCACTGTTTGTCACAGTAAAAGTTATTTCATGTTTTTCTGATTTCATTATTTCCTGGGCCCCAGAGATGCTTTTACCCAATTTTAGCTCCTTCACCACTGTAGATCTCTCCTTCTAAGATTATTATGTGGAAATTTCTACTTTTGCTCTTTATTCTATATTACCTTCCCTTCCTGAAGCCTAGTTCCCGCTCTAATTATTCCCATGAGAATTTCCTTAAGGATACTCAAAGTGAAATCCTCATGATTTGAAAAAGATATACAGAAGCAAATCCACATTGTGGAAAATTCTGTTAAAGGGGAATTCAGGGTTGGAGAGGGATTATTATACTATTTTATTAAAATTATTATTTAGCAGAAATCCAAGAAACATATATTTTTGTTAAGACATCAAAATAATCTTACTTAAAAAATTATTAAAAGGGAAACAGGGTCCCTGTGATTATTAAAATCCCCCTTTCCAAATGAAATCAAGTTAGAGAAAGTATCCTAGAGGCAGACCCAGAATCAAGCTTTCATCTGTTCACACAGTTACTGGTTTGCTATCCATATACTTAAGGACACAGTCACTAAGTATGTGATCTGTAAAGGAAAACTGACAGGCCTATCAAGGTAGCCTCTAAAATTTAAACTGAAATTAAGTAAAAGAACAAGGGAATAGCAAATATTACCATCTTGGATTCTGGTTTCTGGGAACCCCTTCCTGGGATGCTCCTGTCGTTTTGTAATCTTCTTTCTTTTTCCTGTTTTAGTTCTAACTCAAGCTGGTTCCTGAGTAAGTTGGAGAGGAAAAGGATGAAAAATGGGAATTCTATACAGACATATTCTCTAAAGAATGCCAACCCCTTGTTTTAAAGTGCAGTAATTAAGTTAAGGGCTTGTTGTCAGAGAGACAGGTTTTTAAATGATAATGCTGCCACTTCTAAGCTTAACTATGTGAATCTGGACACATTTAACATCTCTAATCTCTACTTTTTTTTGAGACGGAGTCTTGTTCTGTCCCCCAGGCTGGAGTGCAGTGGCATGATCTCTGGTCACTGTAACCTCCGTTTTCCAGGTTCAAGCAATTCTCCTGCCTCAGTCTCCCGAGTAGCTGGGATTACCGGCACCCACCACCATGTCTGGCGAATTTTTGTATTTTTAGTAGAGATGGGGTTTCATCATCTTGGCCAGGCTGGTCTGGAACTCCTGACCTCAGGTGATACACCTGCCTTGGCCTCCCAAAGTGCTGGGATTACAGGCATGAGCCACTGTGCCCAGCCTTAAACTCTACTTTAATCTGAAAGTGGAGGCAATAATATCGCTAATAGGGTTGATATGAAGATATTAGGAGAGTTTGCATGTGAAGTGCTTTGTAAAGTATCTGGCACACAGTAAGAATTCAGGAAATATTATATATTATTATTAGTGTTATTTTGGCTAATAATTACTATTTATCTGGGATCTTGGGCTCTAATTTTCTAATTCTTTGATCACAAAGCATGTTGATCGGATTTGGGGAATGTTGAAGTACGTGAAGCTTTCTGAATTCCAATTCCAGAGAAAGGACATTGCAAAGACAGAGCCAACCTGGCTGTAAGTCATGAGACCCCTCTTCTTGCTGTCTACTCTAAGAATTACCCATGACCACCCTGTCGGCTCAAGCTGCCCCCTCTTCACCGCTGCCTGGTGAGCTCCTCGACTTCCAGCTGCAGACTGTTGATCTTGTCTCCAAAGTCCTGTTTGAAGAGCCGGTTGTCCAACTCAGCAGACTGGCGGCTTCGCTCAGCCTGGCGCAATCTGGATGTGAGCCACATGAACTTGTGATAAAAAACAAAAGCCATGGTGGGGAGAAAGACCAAGTTCACAACACAACATAAAATAACCCAAAAGAATGCACAGAGAGACAGAGAGAGGAAAAAAACTTTGCAGGACACAGGTAAAGAAATTATGGGGGGGGGGAAAGATGGAAAAGAAACAAATTCTAAAGAAAAGTAAGATGAAGGTGAACCAGGCAGAGGAAAAGCTGATTTTCCATTTTTTTTTTATTCTAGTACTACAGTTTACAGCCATTAGATGATAAACAATAAAACATCACTTTTTAGAAAATCCATATCCAAAGCCAACCTCAAGTACACAGTAATTTAAGTTAAATCCACTTTAAAAAAAAATTTCCTAATAGGTTTGGTACTTAATTTTTCTGTCTTACACACATAACTGGAACTTGTAAACGGGCAACTACCTTCTTATATGTGGAATTATAGTTTTTTCTTGTCCTTTCCCCCAAACCACATATATTAAATCATGGGACATTATATATCAACCCTCACCCAGGCTTTGGGTTATTCTATAAGGAAAAGTCTTTGTCAGAATTTGGCTGTCTCCTTCCTTTCCCATTCCCACAAAAGACGTGTGACTAAGTGGACAAAGAACTCAGCACTGGGCCTGTTTAAGACTCTGACCATATTCTCCAGAAGATTCTGATCGATGTTTCCTTCTAAATATCTTATAACTTTGCACCTATACAGAAGCATGTTTTAGAAGGTAAAACACTTGGGGCTTTATATAATAGAATTTAAAAGCATGCTATGTGTAGGTTTTAGAAAGTTTAATTTTGGCATTTGATCACTCCTTCCAAATGCTCACAGAAAAGGCAACCCATCACCACAAAAGGATGATGAAGAGAAGAATATAGTAGGAGCTTTGTTTATATAGGTGCAAATTATAAGAATTAAAATAAGTTCGAGAGCACAGGATCTTCCACTTCCATAAAGTTGGTCTAAACATATGTTCTTTGACTTGATTTTGGTTCAAGTCCAATCTGTGCAGGGACCTATATAAGCACACATGGAATCCATCGTACACTCTTAATTCTGGTTTTGCCAAGAAAAAGATAAAGAATTTTAAGAGCTGGAAGCGAAGGGGTTATCTGTGTCCCCACCTAAGCAGCTGAAATGCTGCAAAGCATACCAGAAAGAAAAAAAAAAGAGAGAAAAAACCCCAAATATTTTGTTAGGACCTTTTGAAGGAATGAAGGCTTATGTAAAGCCCATCTTTTCAAATCAAAAATCATCTTAAAAATTAAAGTATTTATAGGATTATTTACAATGTTAAAGCCTAGAGAGGGTTAGTTTGTGGTCACTTATAGATAGAAGCCCTGCTAATATTGCTTGTGGATATCTACTGGGAATCTGTATTTTTGTACTAAATAATAATAAAGAATATAAGTTTATCATTTATTTCCTATTCTGAAATGTTTTTCTAATAATTCAATTATTAGCTTCCCAGAACCTTTAGCAAACCTCCATCTGAACAAAAAGTAACAGAAACTTTTAAGTAAATGTTTCCAGGTAAGAAATGACAGGTCAGGCAGAATATCAACATTCATGTCTATACCCTGTCCTTTTTATTCCAATAAGAAAAGCAGGATATGAAAAATGGGTACTGCATCATTTTTTTTAATACGACAGGAGTGTTTCTATTAGAATCATTCTCTCTGAACTGCCTAAGTAGGAAGCGGAACTGCAGGAAAATGGCAGAGGTAGAAGATGACAAACATAAGGAGGGTTTCCCCAAGCGTCCACATTATTATGTTATCATAAGTTACCTAATTACTAACTTCATCTCTGTATATTTTAAAGAAATATAAGGATGCTGTTTTTTCTTTCTTTTTTTTTTTTCAAAAGTCACTAAGGCAAAAAAAGTTGCAAGCAATCTTGGTTACTGAGAATAGAAGTGTAGTGAAAGTGAAATACTAAGTACTATCCTTGTCTTGGGGATTAAACCTACATAACAAAAGTGAAAAGGGGTCATGGTCTAAGAGACACAGCACTATTTTAGAAGAGTCTGAGTTCATGTGGTAGTTACCTCTAGTTCATTACACTGCAATGGCAGAACAGGCTTGCAGATACAGACATGAACAATGCACCGAGAATCTGATATTATCAACGACTGGGTTGTAAAGGCATCATTAATATATGTACAGAGCTTCAATTCCCTAGGCTTTTTCAAAAAAGTGGTATTTTTATTTATTGGTCAACTCAGAAATAATTTCTCAAAGTTTACTCAGCTTTTAGTTAGGAACTTATACCAATTTTTCTAACCCTGGGGAGAAAACATTAAGAAAAACACCCAACCTACATCTCCAAATGGTTTTTTAAAAGTCCAACAAATTCAAAGTCAACTTTTTGGTGACATTTTATAGGGAATCAGAGCTTAAATGTAATAGCTTTCAGATTTCTTCCTTTTACAATTAAGTTGTGATATCAGACTTGCGACGTGCCAACTGAAAAATGCCTAATGATGTTTTGGGATCAGTTTATTTGCTGCACTATTTAAGGTCTTTGCCTGTTTCACCAAATCCTTTTCACTAAATAAAATAAAAATGACAATGAAGTGAAAGGGGAATGAGAAAATGGATAAACAGGAAACACAAAAATAGTAAGAGAATAGGTCAGCTTAATATTCAAAGAGATGTCATTATTTCTTTCTGTTTGCTTTAAATTCCAAGTCAAAGCATCATTGAAAATGAATTTGATACATTTCACTTCAAAAGCACAATTTATGAACAGTAAAATCATTTTGTTAAATCATAAACATATAACTATGTACGAGCAAGTATATAACCGTCTTTCCTAGGTAAGACTGATACATTTTTATTTGGCTGTATAAGAGGTTTCAGGCTTATTTACAAATTTGCCATTAGGTTTTGAGTAAACATTAATATGCATTGCTGTTCAGGACCCTTACTAGTTAAGAATCATCTGAATATAAGAAGTCACCCATTAATCCACTCATTCATATATCTACTGAATGAATCCTTATATATTCAAAGCACTGTGACAGATCTAATGAAGGAACTCAAAAGATTAGTTAACTAATCTCAGGGAGCTTACGCTCGCATCGGAGGACACATATATAAAGGGTTAAAAGGTAAAGTAGACAGTGAGAAGAGCCATAAACAGTATAGATAAATATGAATATGAAGCTATGGGAATTCCCAGAAAGACAGATCATTTCTAGCTGCAAAGAGGTATCAGAGGAAACTCTGGGGAGGTGGCATTTGAGCCTAAACTTAAAAATGAATAAGGGAGTGGGAAGAATTAGGACATTTCTAACTGGTGGAACTATTGGGAAAGAAATGAATGAGAAAACTGGGAAGTACGTCCAGGGACCAGTAGTTTAGTTTTGCTCAAGTGCAAGAAGGGTGACGAACAGGTGTTGAAGGTAGAAATATCAAATGACCTTGGGTGCCATGCCACATTCAATCTTGAAGACTCAGCCATTTCTCTTGGCTGCTGAGCTGCCAGACAGAAAATGGTGGTTTCACACAAACAGAGAAAGAGAGTAGCATAGGAAGAAGATGTGCTTTGGGCAGACTAAATTGTAGATACTGGTGAAAGATAGCTGCCCAAAGGATGAAAACTCAAGACTGGTCTCCAGATGCAGGTAAAAGCTGGGGAAACACACTGGAGGTGACAGTGGAAGCTACAGAACTACCCAGGAGAAAGAAAAGGGAGATAAAGAGAAAAGGGTTAAAGAAGGGAAAGATCCAGAATAGATCCTTGGAGGACACCTATCTCTCACTGCCTCTATATACCCCAGCATCCAAGTATTCAAAGACTTTAGTGATGAACAATAAAATCACAGAATTACATACATATATTTAAGAGTCCTTTCATGCTTTTAAGTATCCTTCCCCTAACACCTGATTCTGATAAGGGTTAAGAGTTCTGATGTTCAAAACAGTCATCAAAGGTTGACCTTTCCTTTTTTTTTTTTTAAGGCTAGTCAAGTAACTGACATTTCCTAAAAACATTTCAGTCATACCTTAGAAAACACACATAATATTTAATTGGCTTTTTTTCTACCAGAATGTCTTATGCTAATTTGGAAGAATTTCATATATTTTCTATTTGCAAATGTACAGCACATTCTCTTCACTATCAGCACTGACAACCCAAAGTGTTTCATTAAAGAACCAGGACTTTTACCTTTGTTCAAGTTGTTTAATGGTAGCAGCCATCTGATTAGTCTTCTCTTCCAAGCGACTGTTTAGTTCACTTTTCTGTTTTACTCCTAAGTCTGAACTCTGTTATGGAAAATAATGATAAACAACCTGTATAACATAAATCCTAAAATTACAACCACACATGCCTTTTGAATCTAACGGTAAGTGGGAAAACAGAAATGTTCATATATTTCGGTATCGGTTAATCCTCAAATGGAAATAAAAGCAATTTATCTAAAGTTAGTACTGTTATTTGTAGTGTTATCACAGTAATAGTTCATCAATGTATCACTTTCCAGTGTAAAAGCTAATAGAATATGTAACTCAGCTGGCATAGTAGACTGCAGAATATAAATTATACTATAGGATAAAAGAGATCCTCACCCTCGTATAATGTGAAAAGTGGTCATGGTTTTCTATAACAGCAATACAGGATCCCATGACGGTCTGATTCTGAAAGTAGTTTATTGGCAGCTAGCATTAAAATGAGACGTGATTCTTTCCTCTTGTAATTAAAGTGTGATTCTGGAGGATAAGATGGAAGAAGGGGAGCCCCAGGATTTTAGAAAGCCAGTGAGTCTATTCCTCATACTTCCCCTACCTGCAACTTAAAGGCAAGTTCGTGCTTGAGAGCTCTGAGGTCATCCAGCTGCTGCCGAAGAGATACCAGGGCATCCTGCTTCTCACAGACATCCTTCTCCAGCATCTTCATAGCCAATTCCATCTCCTGCCTCATGCTGATCTGCATCTCCAGCTCTTTTTCAACATCCTGCCCCCAAAGGTAAGTAAATTGCTTACACTCTGTTTCTTCAACTAAGTACAAACCATAATATTTCACAGGAAAAAGTATACCAAAACTCTCAGGTCAAATATTCTAGCAAAACAGCTTAAGCTATCATTCATTTTCAGAAACATTAACAATAATTAATTGATAATGAACAATAATTAGAATACACAATAACATTTATAATAATGTTTATAATAACATTTATAATAACATTTATAATGTTTATAATAACATTTATAATAACATTTATAATAATGTACAAATCTGAAAAACCTGCTAAGCCAAAGGTAGTGCTATTTAATATGTCTAAAACATACACATATTTGAGACACTTCATTAGACCTTAAGACAACTGATGGTCATATCTTATTATAGAAATATACATATAGGATTACAGTAGTCAGCACAAAATGAAGCAGTTGCAATCCTCCTAAATGTGAATGTTGTTGATATATTCAAGAGCCCAGGGAACCCAGAGGACCATCTGGGTCCCTGGGGTAACATCGCAATTACTGAGGATGACTAGTATGGTTAAGAGGCTAACAGAAATTTTTTTTTTTTTTGAGATGAAGTCTAGCTCTGTCGCCCAGGCTGGAGTGCACCGCCTCGATCTTGGCTCACTGCAACCTCCACCTCCCGGGTTCAAGCGATTCTTCTGCCTCAGCCTCCTGAGTAGCTGGGACTATGGGTGTGCGCCACCACACTCGGCTAATTTTTTGTATTTTTAGTAGAGACAGGGTTTCACCATGTTGATCAGGCTGGTCTCAAATTCCTGACCTCGTGATCCGCCTGCCTCAGCCTCCCAAAGTGCTGGGATTACAGGCGTGAGCCACTGCGCTCAGCTGCTAACAGAATTTTTAGTTTACTTAACATGATACCTCTTTTTGTCTCAACCATTATTACTGCAACATTATTTGAGTGATCAAAGACACAAAGACATGAGGATCTTCTGCATCTGCCTTGTGCCTTGGGCTCACCTAGGACCTCGCCTACTTTCTTAGTTTCCTTCCTTCTTAACATTTGTCTTACTGTGATAAAAGGATATGAATTTTTTTTTTTTTTTTTTGAGACAAAAGTCTCGCTCTGTTGCCCAGGCTGGAGTGCAGTGGCCGGATCTCAGCTCACTGCAAGCTCCGTCTCCCGGGTTTAGGCCATTCTCTTTCCTCAGCCTCCTGAGTAGCCGGGACTACAGGCGCCCGCCACCTCGCCCGGCTAGTTTTTTTGTATTTTTTAGTAGAGATGGGGTTTCACCGTGTTAGCCAGGATGGTCTCGATCGCCTGACCTCGTGATCTGCCCGTCTCGGCCTCCCAAAGTGCTGGGATTACAGGCTTGAGCCACCGTGCCCAGCCAGGATATGAGAAATTTTAAGATTTTTATTATGTGCCACTTCACTGAGATTCTCGTTTTACATGATTAGCATTATAGAAAACGAATCATATCCCTTCTTAAAATGCTGACATGTATTATTTCTGCGACCTTTCTTATGAAAAGTATTACATTTTCAGATCTCAGTCACAAACACATAGAAGGCAAACGCTAAGTATTTTAAGGATGTTAAAATAATACCACTTTGCTTTCAAAAAATCTGAAATTCTGGCCAGGTGCAATGGCTCACACCTGTAATCCCAGCACTTTGGAAGTCCGAGGTGAGTGGATCACAAGGTCAGGAGTTTGAGACAAGCCTGGCCAATGTGGTGAAATCCCGTCTCTACTAAAAATATAAAAATGAGCTGGGTGTGGTGGCAGGCGCCTGTAATCCCAGCTATTTAGGAGGCTGAGGCAGGAGAATCTCTTGAACCCGGGAGGTGGAGGTTGCAGTGAGCTGAGATTGCACCACTACACTCCAGCCTGGGCAACAGAGCAAGACTCCATCTCAAAAAAAAAAAAATAAATAAAAAATAAATAAATAAATCTAAAATTCTGTTATATTCTGTCAATTTGTAACATATATATATTTTTGAGACAGGGTCTCCCTCTGTCACACAGGCTAGAGTGTAGTGGTGCAATCTCAGCTCACTGCAGCCTTAACTTCCTTGGGCTCAGGTGATCTCCCTCCTCAGCTTCCCAAGTAACTGGGAATACAGGCATGCACCACCAAGCATGGTTAATTTTGTAATTTTTGTAGAGATAGGGTCTCCCTATGTTGCCCAGGCTGGTCTCGAACTCCTGAGATCAAGTGATCCTCCCAAAATGCTGGGATTACAGGTGTGAGCCATGGCGCTTGGCCTGTAATAATTTCTTAGTACAAGTTAAGTCACTCCTTACTTTCAGGCTCCTCTTTATTCTTAAAGACTTTCTGGGGAGTTCCTTGTGTTTGTCACACTATCTAAACTCCAAGAAGAGTTAATATGTGAAAACCAGGGGTTATTAATATAATAACACTAGCACCTGGAGAAAATCTAGTATAGGAACAGTATCCCTTATTATAAATTCTTTTTTAAAAAAGTATGATTGACACATAGTAATTTATGGTGTAGAACATGATGTTTCGATAATATAAAAATTGTGTAATGACCAAATCAGAGAAACGAACGTATCTATCATCTTAAACATTTATCATTTCTTTGTGATGAGAATATTCAAAAGTCTCTTTTCTTTCCAGCATAAAGAAAAGATGAATATTTAAGGTGATGGGTATCTCGAGAACACTGATTTGGTCTTTACAAATTACATGAGTATATTAAATTATCATATGTACCCTGGAACTATGTATATCTATTATGCATCAATAAAAACAACAATAACAACAAACCTTTCTTCTAACTATTTTAAAATGTATATTAATGTTAACTCTACCACACACTATGCAACAGAGGACCAGAACTTATTCCTCCTATCTAACTATAGCTTTGTACCTGTTGACCAATCTCTTACTATCCCTTGCTTCCTCTCCCCCTAGTAACCACCACCTTACTCTCTACTTTTATGAGAACGTTTTAGATTCCACATGAGTGTTATCATATGGCATTTCTCTTTCTGTGTTTAGCTTATTACACTTCACATAACGTCCTCTAGGTTCACCCATGTTGCCACAAATGACAGGATTTCATTCTTTTTTATCGCTGAATAGCATCACATTGTGTTTATGTACCATGCTTTCTTTATCCATTCACGTGTTGATGAACACTTAGGTTGATGCCATATCTTGGCTACTGTGAATAATGCTGCAATAAACATAGGAGTGCAGATTCTCTTTGACATACTGATTTCATTTCCTTTGGATATATACCCAGTAGTGGGATTGCTGGATCATATGCTAGACTGATTTTTAATTAATTAATTTTTTATTTTTTGAGACAGAATCTGGCTCTGTCACCCAGGATGGAGTGCAGGGATACAATCTTGGCTCACTGCAGCCTCCGCCTCCCAGGTTCAAGCAATTCTCCTGCCTCAGCCTCCCAAGTACCTGGGATTACAGGTGCATACCACCATGCCTGGCTTTTTTTTTTTTTTTTTTTTTTTTTTTTTTTTTATTTTTTTGTATTTAAGTGAGAACAGGTTTCACCAGCCCTTTGATCATGCAAATCTGAACTCACAACCTCAGTCATCTGCAAACACCTCTACCAGTGCTGGAATTCCAGGTGTTAGCCACTGTATTCTGTTGATTACAATTTTTTAGAACAACCTTCATAGTGTTTATATTTACTTCATTAACCTATTTGTTACTAAGAAAGTACAATGTAAAAAAGTTCTCCTTCTCTACATCTGTAATCAAACATATCTTTTCAATTTGATAGTTGCCATTCTGATTAGAGTGAGGTGATATACTCTCTCTATCCTATATATTTATGTATTGTACATTTTTTTTTTTTTAATTTCTAAAAAATTATTAAGACTAATATGGATAGATATAAGTTTTCCATTTATATATAAGACCATAATAAATCCAGAAATAACAATAAAGCAAATAAGGTAATCCTACATTAAGCAGTTCTTTCTTGTAAGAGGAGCCACCATAAAATCTGTACTGGGATGAGGACTTGGTGAGATGAGGACTGCATAGTTTCCAAAGCAGTTCTGTATACTTAATATGTGTTGTGTGCAAACTGAAAACTAAATAAGGAAGAATTAATAACAAAATCTTATTGGGTGAAGTGCTCTAAATGATTAGAAAGAATATGATAAGAGATGTGGATTTAAGAATGAAGCGGGCTATGGGATCATGGATTTTTAAGAACACTGCTTTGATCATTCCTAAATATTTGTATGATAAAATGTGTAAGTGGGCAGTTACTTTTTTAATATATTCATGAACTGTTAGGTGGCTTGAGTTTTTGCCATTATGATTTGTGTCATAATGTACTAGTGGCTCTTTTACACTTGGTGCTTTGCGCTTCATATAAGTTCTGTCTTGCTTGGGACCCTCGAAAAAGATAAATAACATTGTACATATTTAAGAGTTTGATCTATTACCAGATAAAAATGAACACTAACACCACTTAGTAAGAAAAAGATCATGCTAGAGCAGGTATAATATTGAACAAACACAGCAAAGAAATTGGAAGGAAAATTCAATTGTATTTTTAAGTTAAGCTGAATTGTATGGGGGTTCTGACCCCAGCTGTTTCCAAATCCTAAAATAGGTTACCAAACCAAATGGTAAGTTTTAAAAATTAGCCTCACAAAAGCAACACCTTAGTATTCATTTCAAATAGGTTGGGTTATAGGTTTTTCTTTTTCAACTTTGAGATGGAGTCTCACTCTGTCGCCAGGCCTGGAGTCCAGAGGGCTCTGTAATCTTTGCTCACTGCAACCTCACCTCCTGGGTTCAAGTGATTCTCCTCTGTATAAACTGAGTCGCTGGGATTACAGCGTGTGCCACCACACGCCACAGCTGGTTTGTATTTTTGGTAGAGGCTGAGGTTTCACTATGTTGGCCAGGTGGTCATAAGCCTCCAGGCACCTGCCTCAAGTGATCTGCCCTCCTTGGCCTCCCAAAGTGCGGGATTGGGCGTGTGACCCTTTCACTTACAGAGCTATAGGGTTTAAATGTTAATACATTCAGAGAATTTACTGACTCATGTCACCACTTCCATCCGGCAAAGGTCTGATAAAGAGCAAGCGGATCGCCAAAATTCATTCAGGCGATCATGAAGTCGCATTAAAGTCAATCACTTTTCGCTCATGGGGAAAACTGCTTTACTTTTGTCCTCGCAGGCACAATAACTCTTTGAGAACAATTTTAATAACAATGGTTGAATTCCCTATAAGGACAGTAGATTAGAGAAAGCATGAAGATAAAGGAAGTGAAGAAGATCACATCTAGAGATAAACACTAAGCTTTTTTTTTTTTGTATTTTTAGTAGAGACAGGGTTTCACCATGCTGGTCATGCTGATCTCGAACTCCTGACCTCATGTGATCCATCTGCCCGGCCTCCCAAAGTGCTGGGATTACAGGTGTTAGCCACTGTGTCTGGCCCGATTTTTAATTTTTTAAGACAACCTTCATAGTGTTTTACATAGTAGCTATGCTAATTTATATTTTCACCAGCAGCGTGTAAAGGTTCTCCTTCTCTACATCCTTGTCAACACTTATCTTTCAATTTGATAGTTGCCATTCTGATTAGAGTGAGGTGATATACTCTCTATCTATATATTTATGTGTATTTTTTTTTAATTTCTAAAAAATCTTAAGACTAATACTGGATGATAAGTTTTCCATTTATATCTAAGACCATAATAAATCAGAAATAACAGCTAAAAATAAAATAGAGTAATCCTACATTAACGATTCTTTGTAAAGAAAAGAGGAGCCACCACTCCAAGAATCTTTGCAGGGATGAGGACTTAGGTAGGATTGAGACTGCATAGTTTAAAAAAGTAGGTTCTGTATACTTAATATTGTTGTAATACAAACTACAAAAGCAAAAAAATAAAAATTAACAAAATCTTATTGTTGAGAATACTCAGAAAATGATTGAGAAAATATGATAAGGAATGTGGTTTAAAAAGAGATAAACCATTTTATAGGATCTATAGTTTTTTAGAACACTACTGATATTTCTAATCTTTGTATGATAAAATGTGTAAGTGGGCAGTTACCTTTTAATATATTCCTGAACTATTAGAAATTAAGCAAAGTTTACCAATCGTAATTGTGTCTCTTCTTTTAAATGCTTTCTTGCTTCACTTAGTGCTTGCCCTTCTGCAGTTCTGTCTTGCTTGGGACCCTCGAAAAGATAAATAACATTGTACATATTTAAGGATTTGATCTATACAGAATTAATAGACACTAACACTGCTACTTAGTAAGAAAAAAAGATCATACTGAAGCAGGTATAATAATGAACAAACACAACAAAGAAATTGAAGAAGTCTAGTATATTTTTAAAGGTTAAGCTGAATTGGGGGTTTCCTGACACTTTATTTAAAATCCTAAAATAGGTTACCAAACCAGACGGTAGAAGTTTTAAAAATTAGCCTCTAAAAACAACATAGTATTCATTTCAAAATAAGAGTTGGGTTATAGGTTTTTCTTTTTTCTTTTTTGAGATGGAGTCTCACTCTGTCGCCCAGGCTGGAGTGCAGAGGCTCAATCTTTGCTCACTGCAACCTCCACCTCCTGGGTTCAAGTGATTCTCCTGTCTCAGCTTCCCGAGTAGCTGGGATTACAGGCGTGTGCCACCACGCCTGGCTAATTTTTGTATTTTTGGTAGAGACGAGGTTTCACTATGTTGGCCAGGCTGGTCTCAAACTCCCGACCTCAAGTGATCTGCCCTCCTTGGCCTCCCAAAGTGCTGGGATTACAGGCGTGAGCCACTGCACCCAGCCCAGGGGCTATAGGTTTAAATGTTAATACATTCAGAGAATTCACAACTCATATCTTCAACTATCCAGCAAGATCACAGATAAAAACAAGCAGATCATAAAAAAATTATTCTGAGCAGTCATGAAGTCCACGCATTAAAGTCAATCACTTTACTCATGGAAAACTGCTTTTGTCCCCTCGCAGAGCCTAGTAACTCTTTGAGAACAATTTTAATAACTATGGATTTGAATTCCTAGGGACAGTAGATTAGAAGCATGAAGATAAAAGGAAGTAGAGAGATCATCCTAGAGATAACAACACTAAGCATCAATAAAAAGTAAGAGATGCTAGTGAATACAAAAAAGATAGGGGAAAAAACCATCCACAGAAATCGGGGAATATTTAAGTGTAGGTGTCAGAAGCTCTATCAATTTCAATAGCCTCCTAAAGTGGCACTATTATAATTTAGCAGAGAATTGTCAATGTTGGTAATTATGAACCTCAGTCATCATAAAGGGCTAAATGTATTAAATTATGTCCTTAATTAAGAAGGCTCGGAATTGTACAAAACATAAAGGTTTACAAAATTCTAATCAGACATGTATAAAAAGTTTGGTGCTTTAAGGAATTAAGTTATCTAGAAAATGACATGTATAAAAAGTTTGGTGCTTTAAGGAATTAAGTTATTTAGAAAATACATTTATATGGTAGCTCTTTCCCAGTGATATATAAATGAGGTGTCACTTCTTATAAAACAGTAACATGGTGTAAAAGTAATAGTATATTTAACATAACAAAATGTTAAATACTGTATGAATCATTAGTACATAAAAACAAGAAACGGAATTAGACTGTTTTGTGAAGTCTCTAAACAGATGTAGGTGGCTGTGAAGCCAAGAAGCATCTTGTAGGAAAAGGCACATAACCCTCCCACAACCTTCATCACACATGCATGGAGTCTAAATAAAAAGTGTACTTGATACAGGCCAGCTGATTAAAATAGTCCTTTAGAGACTCCCCTTTACCACTAACAAGTTGACATGCTCTCAATGAATATTTTATAAATCCAGTAAGATTAACCTTCCGATTGGATTCCAGTATGTAGGAACTTTCCTCTTTAACTCGTTCCATTTCTTCTTGTAAGGTAATGATCCTGTTGTTTGCAACTGCAAGCTGTGGATAAAATTTTAAAAATAATCCTTTATGTTTTTAAAATTAACATAGTATATGATAATTCACAATCTGCTAGGATGTAATTCTCGGGCTTGGATATTCTTAGAAAGCAAGCAAGCTATAACCCAATAAAAATGTTATTATAGGAACTCAAGAGAAATATTTTTCTTTCTTTCTTTTTCTGAGACAGGGCCTCGCTCTATTGCCCAGCCTGGAGTGCAGTGGCATGATCTCGGGTCACTGTAACCTCTGCCTCCTGGGTTCAAGTGATTCTCATGCCTTAGCCTCCCAAGTAGCTGGGACTACAGGCATGTACCACCATGCCCAGCCAATTTTTGTATTTTTAGTAGAGACAAGGTTTCACCATGTTGGCCAGGCTGGTGTTGAACTTCTGGCTTCAAGAGATCTGCCCACCTCGGCCTCCCAAATGCTAGGATTATAGACGTGAGCCACTGAACCTTAAGATGATCTCAAGGGTGTTCTTATAGATATACACATATTTAGTAAGGAAAAAAACATTTATTAAGAATGTCTATTTCTAAAATGTTTAATAAAGGGGTCCTGTCACACCATGGAACCCATGTGACAAACCTTCTATAAGATCTTTTATAGATGATTTCTTAAAAGATTAAAGACAAGAACTCCAAAGTTCTCATGCTAAAAGTCCCATTAAGCATTGAGGAGAGTTTTCATTTCAACACCTAAAAAGATCAGGTAATGTTATTAGCAGTAAACTGCTATGGGGAACATTTATATCTCTTTCTTAGAAGGAAAAAGTAAGGTGGAAACACTTTTTCCTTCTCTGCATCTACTAAACTCCCAGAGAATGTGAAGGTGCCTGCAGGAGGCTGGGAGGAATAACCAAGCAGGCTCCTCTCAGCTAGGCTAGTCTCATTCTCAATTATTGTCTCCTCACTACCAATAGGTTCAGGCTCTGTTCAGTTCCTGTACTAACATGGTAAGCACAGAGAAGCTCACGCTTTCTGGGGGCAGGCCTGAAAACCCAGTTCTCTCTCAGATCCTGTGGCCTAAAAATGTACAAGAAACCAATTCTGGGAAAGTAGGTCTCCTCTCTAGATCCAAGTATGCCCTCAGGCAGGTTGTTCCAAAATCTTGATTTAAGAGAAACTATTGGGCAACCTGCTTATGGCTGCAGATCACAGGAGGTTTTCCAATTCAGCTTTACCAAAAATGAAGTAGACATTTATTTATCTATCCATCTATCTATTTATTTATTTATTTGAGACAGGGTCTCCCTCTGTTGCCCAGGTTGGAGTGTGGTGGCACAATCTTGGCTACTGCAGCGTTGGTCTCCTGGGCTCAAGCAATCCTCCCGCCTCAGCATCCCGAGTAGCTGGGACTACAGTGTGCACCACAACACCCGGCTAATTTTTTTGGTGTAGAGATGGGGTCTCACTATGTTTCCCAGGCTAACCTTGAACTCTTGGCCTTAAATGATCCTCCTGCCTTGGCTTCCAAAGGGCTGGGATTACAGGTGTGAGTCACCATGCACGGCCTGAAGTGGATATTTATATCTGCATCTGCTTAATTCTTCTCAGTCTGTCATTCAGATTCAACACCCAGGAGGGGAAAAGAGGGCTGCTATCTTTCTGACTGGCCTTTTTTTTTTTTTGAGATGGGGTTTCGCCATGTTGCCCAGGCTGGTCTTGGAATCCTGGCCTCAAGCGATCCACCCACCTTGACGTCCCAAAGTGCTGGGATTACAGGCGCGAGCCACCGCGCCCGGCCTTACTGGCTCTCTTAAACCCAAAACGGAAATGGGAAAAGACATAACTAATCCCATCTGCTTTCTTACAGCATATTTTCTTTAAGAAAGTAAGTGTTGTTGGTAAAATAAATAAGTAAATGAATAAATAGTATTAATATAACTCTAAGGAAGGCAAGTCTTATGACTGAGAGAATAAAATTAACAACTATATTTATTGAGTGCTTATGATGTGTTAGGTGCTGTTCTAAGCCCTAATCATGTATTAAATCATTTCATTCACACAGCAATCTCACAAAATGTTATTATTGCTATTTCCATGTTACAAATAAGTAAATCAAGGAATAGAAGCTTAAGTAATTGGCCCAGGATTAGAAGACTAGCAAGTGGCTGGGTGCGGTGGCTCATGCCTGTAATCCCAGCAGTTTGGGAGGCCGAGGTGGGTGGATCACCGGAGGTCGGGAGCTCAAGACCAGCCTGGCCAACCTGGTGAAACCTGTTTCTACAAAAATACAAAAATTAGCCAGCTGTGGTGGTGCATGCCTGTGGTCCCGGCTACTCGGGAGGCTAAGGCAGGAGAATTGCTTGAACCAGGAGGCGGAGATTAAAGTGAGCCGAGATGGCGCTGCTGCACTCCAACCTGGGTGACATAGCAATACTCCATCTCAAAAAAAAAAAAAAACCAAAAAACCAAAAAACCAAAAAACCAAAAACAAAAAACAAAAACAAAACAAAAAACCCCCCAAAAACTAGCAAGTGCCAAAGCCAGGACATGAACCCAAGTAGCCTAACTTTACAGAGCATGCTTAATTGCTATGCTGTACAGATTCAACAAAGTAGCAACAGAATAACAGTAAAAAGTCTGCGCTGAACATTCCAAAAGTCTATATGATAAGATTCCAAGGACCATAAGCACAAATTACCCTTTCAAGATTTATAAAATTTAAAAATTTTTGTCCAGAAGTGAAGGCCACAGAGCTGAGTAATAAAAAAGGTATTTTAAAACTATAATAATGAAAATGTTCATTCTAAAGAGAAACCGATTAAAAGCATCTTCCTGACTAGTGCTTCAATTTGATTTTATTTAAACTAAATTCATCCCATGGGGTGTAAGGGCATCATTACAATTAGAAATAAAGAAAGTGGGCCAGGCGCAGTGGCTATGCCTATAATTCTGGCACTTTGGAAAGTCGAGGCAGGCGGGTTGCTTGCGCTCAGCAGTTCAGGACCAGCCTGGGCAACATGGCAAGACCCCCTCTCTACTAAAAATAGCCAGGTGTGGTGGTGCATGCCTGTGATCCCAGCTACTTGGGAGGCTGAAGGTGGGAGATCACTTGAGCCTGAGGGGCAGGGTTTGCAGTGAGCCATTGTGCCACTGCACTACAGCCTGGACAACAGAGTGAGACCCTATTTCAGAAAAAAAAAAAAAAAAGAAAAAGAAATAAAGAAGGTAAACTCTTTGCCATCTGGACAATGTTATTTAGTATTTTTCATAAAAACATATAATGCTATTTAAATAAAAAATATCTGTAGCTAAGGCTTTGGCAAGTTAAGGAAAAAAATCTTTTTATTAGAAGTAAAACATGAGGTTATTTTTCTGTTCTTATTTTAGGGACTTTTCTAAGGGTTTTCATATTCTTATCTGATCTTCAGAGTTAATTGTGAGGCTGAAAAGGAAGTATATTGTAAACACTCATTTTCCAGTGATGGAACTGAGTCCCTTGGAGGTCAAGTGACTGACTTACTCAGGAGCACATGAGTTACATAAGCATGATTTGTAGGCAGGGATTACAGATCTTCTGACCAGTACTCTTTACCTTACCTATGTAACTGTTCCAGGAAGAAAACAAGGACAAAGGGAGTGGGGAGTTTGCCAATTTGGAACATAAATCAATGTCTGGCACATAAAAATATTTGTCTAGCTCTTGCACATAAACAGTGTGTGAAATGTTCACTGAATGAATAAATGATGAATATGCTATATGCTAAACATTTAGTCTAAGCTAGCCCAGACAAAACATGCACACAAAAGAAACCAAGATACGCCATTAACCAGGCAACATGCCCCTACACAGTCTAATAGGGTAAATGAGATCCCGCAATAAGCCAACTGGCCATTCTAGTCAGAATAAGGAGTTATGGGCCGGGCGCGGTGGCTCACGCCTGTAATCCCAGCACTTTGGGAGGCTGAGGCGGGTGGATCACCTGAGGTCAGGAGTTCAAGACCAGCCTGACCAACATGGAGAAACCCCGTCTCTACTAGAAAAATACAAAATTAGCAGGGGTGGTGGCACATGCCTGTAATCCCAGCTACTCGGGAGGCTGAGGCAGGAAAATCGCTTGAACCCAGGAGACGCAGGTTGCGGTGAGCTAAGATCGTGCCATTGCATTCCAGCCTGGGCAACAAGAGCGAAACTCCGTCTCAAAAAAAAAAAAAAAAAGAAAAGAAAAAAGACAAGGTCTCCCTCTGTAAAAAGGAGTTACGTACTATAGTTGATATTCTTTCCTTTGAAGGGAATCAGCGCAGGCTACAGAGTCTGAGATCTCAACTCACTGCAAGCGCCTCCCGGGTTTGCGCCATTCTCCTGCCCCAGCCTCCCCTCCAGCACTGGACCCAGGCATCGCCACACCTCGCCCGGCTAGTTTTTTTGTATTTTTGAGTGGAGACCAGGGGTTTCACTATAATTAGCCAGGATGGTCTCGATCTCACAAGCCTGGGGCTCACGCCACGTCTCGGCCTCCCAGTACTATGAGATGGCTCAACCACCCGCGCCCGCTCCTCAAGTTGATATTCTTTGAAAAGTCAAGTTCTTTCTTTCCAAGGTTTTTTTTTTTTTTTTTTTTTTTTTTGAGAGGGAGTCTGGCTCTGTTGCCCAGGCTGGAGTGCAGTGGCCGGATCTCAGCTCACTGCAAGCTCCGCCTCCCGGGTTTGCGCCATTCTCCTGCCTCAGCCTCCCGAGTAGCTGGGACTACAGGCGCCCGCCACCTCGCCCGGCTAGTTTTTTTTTGTATTTTTTAGTGGAGACGGGGTTTCACTGTGTTAGCCAGGATGGTCTCGATCTCCTGACCTCGTGATCCGCCCGTCTCGGCCTCCCAAAGTGCTGGGATTACAGGCTTGAGCCACCGCGCCCGGCCTATAGTTGATATTCTTTGAAAAGTCAAGTTCTTTCTTTCCAAGGTTACATAAAAATTATTAGTTCTACTAATGCATATTAAATTCTATAAGTCAATCAAAGAATTTCCAAAACTTACCTCCTCTGTCAGTTTAGTGTTGGATTTTTCTAATGCATCTACTTTTGCCTGAAGGTTGTTTACGGTAGCACTATAAGGAGAAAAAAAAAGTATCACTTTTGAAAAACAGACAATACCCCATACCTTCCTTTTTAAACGCTTCACACTTATCCTTCACTGTCTAATGTTCACAATTTTAAATTTTATTTTATTATTACTTTTTTAGACGCAGTCTCGTCGTGTCGCCGAAACTGGAGCGCAGTGGTGCGAGATTACAGGCATGCACAACCAAATCCAGCTAATTTTTGTATTTTTTGGTGGAGATGGGGTTTCACCCTGTTGCCCAGGCAGGTCTCAAACTGCTGACCTCAAGTCACCCACCTGCCTTGGCCTCCCAGAGTGCTGGGATTACAGGCATGAGCCACTGCACCAGGCCTTAATGCTCACAAATCTTGACCTCTAAGCTTATAAAAGGCGTTATCAGCTTTAACTGCTGTATCTTTGGCATTTGAGTTTTAATTCAATAAGTATTTATTCAATGAAATAAAAGAGTTCATTCCCTACAGAGTAAACTTTAAGGTTTATCTACATATGATAATAACAGGCTATAAGAATTAAATGCTTACATGCACCAAACCGTCTTCTAAATTATGTTATTTGCGTTATTGCATTTATTCCTTTCAACAACCCTTTATGTTAGGTATTCTCATTTACAGATAAAGAAACTAAGGCATAGAAAGAGTAAATAATAGTGCCATTGTTTATATTTCATTGTGAACTGTAACCATGTCTTTGCTTGGCTAACATCTCCATAGTTCATTAAAGTCATTATATTAGTTCTTGGTCTCCAGAGAAAATGTACTTAAATTGTTTTGAATTTGCTAGGTGGAACCAAGACTACTTAAAACTTTACTGATAGTATAATCACAAGTTTTACTTAAATTAAAAATGTCTATTTTTCAAAAGAGAACTACAAACAAGATAATAATTAATGAATATATTATTCTTCAAAATTATTCAGTAGTCTTAACATAACAAGAACATCAAAGTACTTGAGAATACCAATAGCTTTTGGATAGCTCTCCTCAGGCGAGAGGAAACTGTTTTATGTTCCGGAGAGTTCTGAAAATACAGTGGTCCACTCTTATCTATAGTTTTGCTTTCTGTGGTTTCAGTTACCTGCACTCAGCTGTGGTTCAAAAATAGGTAAGAATAGTACAATAAGCTACTATTCTCCCTCTGGGACTTTCTTGGGCAAAGCTGGGCATGTATTTTTTTCTTACATGTAAATAAGGATTTTGATAGACTCATGTATAAACATTTTGTTTAAATCCCAGATAAGATATCCAAATCTGATTTGTGCTCTCTATGAAACAAACAATAGAGGGAAGTCTGAGTATATTCAAAAAACACACATAAATAAGGATTATCCAGTAAGGATTTTTATTTCTCCTAAGATTAAAAAAAAACAAAACCGTGAACATACATACAACACTGAATTGTCATAAGGACAGTGGCCCTTAGAAAATCTTTTGGAAATAATGATTTCTCAATGCACAAAATCTTGAAACTGGTATTTCTAATGCTTTCTTTCTCGTTCCTTCTCTTTCTTTAATCTTTGTTTTGTTTTGTTTTGAGACGGAGTCTTGCTCTGTCGCCCAGGCTGGAGTGCAGTGGCGCGATCTCGGCTTACTGCAAGCTCCGCCTCCCGGGTTCACGCCACTCTCCTGCTTCAGCCTCCTGAATAGCTGGGACTACAGGCGCCCGCCACCGCGCCCGGCTATCTTTTTGTTATTTTTAGTAGAGACGGGGTTTCACCATGTTAGCCAGGATGGTCTCGATCTCCTGACCTCGTGATCCACCCGCCTGGGCCTCCCAAAGTGCTGGAATTACAGGCGTGAGCCACCGCGCCCGGCCTCTTTAATTTTTAATTAAACTTTAATGTTTTATTCACTGTGCTCAGACATAGAATAGCCATAGTCATTTAAGGACAATAATAAATATAAATACAGAAAACTGAAGGGGGAAAAAACCCTGAGAAAACTAGGAAGAAGTTCAATGAAAAGGAAATAAAAGGATGTGTTGATTTTGAGGCAGACACTACATTCATATTACTTTTATTATAGTCTATTGTTAAAATTGTTTTATTTTATTATTGTTGCTAATCTCCTACTTTGCCTGATTTATAAATTAAACTTAAACATAGGTATATATGTATAGGAAAAAACATAGTATATACAGGGTTTGGTACTATCTGTGGTTTCAGATATCCTTTGGCAGTCTTAGAATGTATCCCCTGCACATAAGCGGGAACTACTGTACTTTGTGACTACTTGGTGAATTAACTGCAATAATGGCAAAGAAATTTAATTTATATATTAAATTAATGCTATTAATTCAATGTACAAATGAGAAATGCAGGGAAGCAAAGTATGTATCTTTTTTTTTTTTTTTTTCCAGGCGGGGTCTGGCTCTGTAACCCAAGCTGGGGTGTAATGGCAAGACCAGGGTTCACTGCAGCCTCAACTTCCCAGGCTCAAGTGATCCCCGCACCTCAGCCCCACAAGTAGCTGGGATTACAAGCGCACACCCAGCTAGTTTTATTGAATTTTTTAATAGAGACAAGGTCTTGTTATGTTACCCTAGCTCGTCTTGAACTTCTGAGCTCAAGCAATCCTCCCGCCTTGGCCTCCCAAAGTGTTGGGACTACAGGTTTTGAGCCACCACACCTGGATGATATTAATTTAAAGGTACTAATGTAATGGAGTGGTTTACACAAGATCAGCCCTGAAATATGCAGCTACATCTACTCAACTGAAAAAGCCACCCACTTCAACTGTATGTCACATATTTAAAAATTCTTAACTGAATGTATTTATGTATTTAATCACTAGAGTTATAATTATGTACATAATATTATATACTGTTATTTTATATTATATATAACATTATATACTGCCTTTCACTAAAGGTCACCAAAACTGTTAAATGCCATTTATTTATCCAGTGCCTAACTCAGTGTCTGGCAAGCAGGAATTCTACAAATATTTGTTGAACGTTGTCTGAATTTATCCTCACTGCTCATCATCTTACTCTTCCCTTCTCCTTCAACAATTCCCCAGTAAAGTAATACATTTATTCATTATTTACTTTAAATGTCTGTTCAGTTCTTCTACATAGTTCTTCTGGTCCAGAATTGCAGTAATCTGACCGTCTCTGGGGGAAGGGGAAGAAAACAGAAATAAACTAAATAACATAAGAAATACCAAGATCCCAACCCCACCTCACCCCATTTTTTCATAAAACATGAGAAAAAAATTGTGGCACAGATACACTGAACCATAAGACAGATTTGATGTAAAACCCTATTGACATATTAACAAGAGTCAGAAGTTTAAAAATGACAAAACCCCACACTAATAAAGCTCTTGTTGTAGCTTACAAACCTTAGTATTAATAATTTAGGTCACAGGTATGATGTTGCAATCTATTAGACGCATTTAAAGGATAAAAATTTTCTTGTTAATAGGTTTTTCAGCTTCAGTAGTAGTACTTAATAGTAACAATTTCCAATCGTCATAGGACTTGAATTAAGCTCACTCTGATGTAATACAGCTGTTCTCAAGGGCTAAATATTTGTCTGTAAGTGCTATTTAACATTTAAAGTGAATGGTTAAAAAGGCTTTCATAAAGATCAAATGTTTATTATATATATTTAATATTATATATTATATATTTAATATTTTATATATATTTAATATTTTATATATATTATATATATATGGATTTTTTGTTTTGGTTTGGTTTTTTAAAGACGGAGTCCCGTTCTGTCACCCAGGCTGGAGTGCAATGGTGTGATCTCGGCTCACTGCAACCTCCGCCTTCTGAGTTCAAGTGATTCTCCCGCCTCAGCCTCCCAAATAGCTGGGATTACAGGCACCTGCCATCATGCCTGGCTCATTTTCTTTTTTATATTATTGTAGAGATGGGGTTTCACCATGTTTCCTGGGCTGCTCTCAAACTCCTGATCTCAGGTGATCTGGCTGCCCTGGCCTCCGAAAGTGCTGAGATTACAGGCATGCGCCACCATACCCGGCCCAAATGTTTATTATTACATGAAAAAAAAAAACTGGATAAAGGAGGTTGGCAACTACAACCAACTAATTTATAGTGACAAAAGATAAACAGCCAGATTTTTCAGCTGACAGATAAAATTAAGGCCCCAAACTTATACAACTACCAAAAGAACAGTGAGACAATCTTAGCTCTGTGTCAAAAATCAAAATCAGACTAATTATGCTTTCAATGGCTACACTTATAAAAAGAATAGATGTGCTTCTGATCTCTAATTACTAAGTACCCTAATGAATATTTTAAAACTGTTTAACATAATTTTAGATTTACAAGAAGAGGTATAAAGGCAGTACAGAGTTCCCACGTACCTTCACTCAGTTTCTCCTAACGTCAACATTTTACATAACCTCACGGTGCATATTTCATATTGCCAATTTTTTTTTTTTTTTTTTTTTTTTTTTGAGGCGGAGTGTAGCTCTGTCGCCCAGGCTGGAGTGCAGTGGCCGGATCTCAGCTCACTGCAAGCTCCGCCTCCCGGGTTCACGCCATTCTCCGGCCTCAGCCTCCCGAGTAGCTGGGACTACAGGTGCCCGCCACCTCGCCCGGCTAGTTTTTTGTATTTTTTTAGTAGAGACGGGGTTTCACCGTGTTAACCAGGATGGTCTCGATCTCTTGACCTCGTGATCCGCCCGTCTCGGCCTCCCAAAGTGCTGGGATTACAGGCTTGAGCCACCGCGCCCGGCCTAATATTGCCAATTTTAAGCAAACTGAGAATGCAACTCCTCTGGTCAAAATGACCATGTTTTTAAACCCTACTATAAGATATGGAGAATTGGAATCCTTTAGAAAATTTTTATTTTCTTTGCCCCTGAACCACATAGCAGGAAAATTATTAAACAAACAAACAAAAAAACCCTTTTAGGGTTTAGTGGTAGGCATAATAGTTAGATATTTCTGGCAAGACTTTATTAAAGCTATATGATCAGAAATTCTTTCAGCAAGTCTGTTAAAACAGTATTGTTGTAAACTTTAAATACTACCAAAGGAAAAAAAATACTACATCAGGAGAAAAGAAACCTAATTTTATTGGTACGTACCCTTCAGTACCTTTACTGCTGTTCCCGTCCTTGAGATACATTGAAAAATCTATAACTCCAACCTGCAGAGAGAATTTTCAGGTTTTAATATAAAATTAGATATTCTTTACAAGATATAACACAATATCTCCTTCTAGGCACTCAAAACAGTAATACAGTCTTGACACTTATTAGGAATGTATGATTAAAAATTTACTGTTTTACTTTCAGTTTAATCAAGAATTAACAAGGGTGGGAAGTAAAGTATCAAGATTATGTCAATAAGACTAGAAGACCAGATCACAACTAAGATAGTCAACGGAATACTTAATATAAATAAGGTCTAAAGTTTCTTTCTCTTTTGCTTATTTCGGGTATTCCGCTACTGAATCCCAGTTCATTTTTAGAAATAACTTTTTAAAAATTAGCACATTTCCCCTGTAGAAGTTTCAGAAAATACAGCTAAACAAAAGGGGAAGTAATATTAAATCCCAACCACCATAGATGACCATTGCTAACATTTTGGTGTCTATTCCTCCAAACTTTCATTGATGTACACATCTTCATTTTTCAAGATTGCCATTTTATGATTTAGCTTCTTTCTTTTTAAAAATCCACGCCAAAGGCCAGGCACAGTGGCTCACGCCTGTAATCTCAGCACTTTGGGAGGCCGAGGCGGGTGAATCACCTGAGGTCAGGAGTTCGAGACCAGACTGACCAACATGGAGAAACCCTATCTCTACTAAAAATACAAAAATTAGCTGGGCATGGTGGCACACGCCTGTAATTCCAGCTACTCGGGAGGCTGAGGCAGGAGAATCGCTTGAACCCGGGAGGTGGAGGTTGTGGTGAGCCGAGATCTCGCCATTGCACTCCAGCCTGGGCAACAAGAGCGAAACTCCATCTAAAAAAAAAAAAATCCACACCAAGAAAATCGTACTTCCCTTTCTATTTTACCAGAATAAAACATAACAGAAGTTTGTGATAGAATTTCATACAGAAAGGGTGAGAAGTAATTAAAGTGAAAATATTATTTATTGGGCAATTAATGTATTCTAGGCCCTATTCTAACTGCATTACATCAAGAAATCTGAAACAGCAAGAAACTAAGTAATTATAAAATATATTCAGCTAGAAAATGAGGAAGCCAGAATCCAAAACTAGACAGTTAGCTTCAGAGCCTTTACTCTTAACTACCATGCTTTAATGGCCTTTAGTACAGTTGGCTCTCCTTATCAGCAAGTCCTAAAACCCAGGGACACAGAGGGCTGACTTTAAGGGGCTTGAGCATTGTGAGTGTTGGTATTCACAGAGGTCCTGGAAACAATCTTCTTTGGATACTGAAGGACAACTGTCCAGTTGATCCCTGAACAACAGACTTTGAACTGTGCAAGTCCACTTATATACTATATATATACAATATAAAATATGTATTTATATTTATATTATTTTATTTTATTTTTGAGACAAAGTCTCACTCTGTCATCCAGGCAGAAAAAAATAAAGGTTTTCCTTCATCTCTGCCACTCCTGAGACAGCAAGACCAACCCCCTCCTCTTCCTCCTCGTCAACCTGGTTAGCGTGAAGGACCTTTATGATGATCTGGTTCCTTTATGATAATTCATTCATTTAAATGAATAGTAAATATATTTTCTCATCTTTATAATTTTCTTATAACATTTTCTTTTCTCTAGCTTACTTTATTGTAAGAATACAGCATATGAAATATATAATAGGCTGGGCACCATGGCTTATATGGGATGTTTCTACCATGTGGTTCCTTACTCTGGTGTTCAAGAGTGAACTGCATATATTTTAGTATATACACACACACACACACACACACACACACACACCTCATTTTATTGCTCTTTGCTTCACAGATATTGCACTTTTTACAAATTGAAGGTTTGTGGCAACCCTGCGTCTAGCAAGTCTAGTAGTGCCATTTTTCCAACAGCATGTGCTTGCTTCATGTCTGGGTTTCACATTTTGGTAATTCCCACAGTACTTCAAACTCTTTCATTATTATTATATCTGTTGTGATAATCTGTAATCAGTGATCTTTGATGCTACTATCAACATTATTTTCGGGCTCCATGAACTACACCCATATAAGATGGCAAGCAATCCATAAATGTGTGTGTTCTGACTGCTCTACTTACTGGCCGTTCCCCCATCTCTCTCCCTTCTCCTTGGCCTCCCTATTCCCTAAGACACATCAATACTGAAATTAGGCCAGTTAATAACCCTGCAATGGCCACTAAGTGTTCAAGTGAAAGAAAGAATTGCACATTTCTTACTTTAAATCAAAAGCCAGAAAAAATAAAGCTCAGTGAAGAAGGCATGTTGGAAGCCAAGACAGGTCAAAAGGTAGGCTTTTTGGGCCAAACAGCCAGGTTGTGAAAGCAAAGGAACAGTTCTTGAAGGGAATTAAGTGCTACTCCAATGAACAAATGAATGACAAGAAAGCAAAACAGCCTGACTGCTGAAAGGAATAAAGTTTGAGTGGTCTGTATAGAAGATCAAACCAGCCACAATATTCCCTTAAGCCAACACCTAATTCAGAGCAAGGCCCTAATGCTCTTGAATTCTATGGAGATTGAGAAGTAAAAAAGCTGCAGAGGAAAAGCCTGAAGTTAGCAGCGACTGGTTTACGAAGTTTAAGGAAAGAAACTGTCTCCATAACATAAAGGTACAAGTTGAAGCAGCAAGCGTTGATGTAAATAATAGAAGCTGTAGTAAGTTATCCAGAATATCTAATTAAGATAATTGATGAAGGTGGATACACTTAACAACAGATTTTAGTTGTAGTCAAAACAGCCTTCTGTTAGACAATGCCACCTAGGACTTTCATAGCTATAGATGAGAAGTCAATGCCTGGCTTCAAAGCTACAAAGGACAGACTGACTCTCTCGTTAGAGGCTAATGTAGCTGGTGACTTTAAGTTGAAGCCAGTGCTCATTTACCATTCTGAAAATTCTAGGGCCCTTAAGAATGATGCTAAATCTACTCTGCCTATGCTCTATAAGTGGAACAGCAGGCTGGGCGTGGTGGCTCAGCCAGTAATCCCAGCACTTTTGGAAGCCAAGGCAGGGAGATCACTTGAGGCCACCAGTTTGAGATCAGCCTGGGCAACATGGCAAAACCCCGTCTCTACTATAAATACAAAAATTAGCCGGGTGTGGTGGTGCATGCCTGTAGTCCCAGCTACTCAGGAGAATGAGGCATGAGGATTGCTTGAGCCCAGAAAGTGGAGGTTGCAGTGAGCTGAGATGGTGCCACTGCATTCCAGCCTAGGTGACACATCAAGACTCTGTCTCAAAAAAACAAAAAACAAAAACCAAAAAAACAACGGGTACAGCAAAGACAGCACATCTGTTTACAGCATGGTTTACTAGAGTATTACATAAACTTAGTTGATAAAGCAGCAGCAAGATTTGAGAGGACTGATTCCAATTTTGAAAGAAATTCTACTGTAGGTAAAATGCTGTCAAACAGCATGGTATGCTACAGAGAAATCTTTTGTAAAGGAAGCCAATTAATGTGGCAAACTTCACTGTTGTCTTATTTTAATAAATTGCCACAGCCACCTCAACTTTCAGCAACCACCAAGCTCAGTCAGCAGCCATCAACACTGGGGTAAGACCCTCTCCCAGCAAAAAGATTACAACTCACTGAAGGCTCAGGTGATTGTTAGCATTTTTTAAGCAATAAAGTATTTTTAAGTTAAGGTATGTACACTATTTTTTACACATACACTATTACATACTTAATAATAGTGCAAACAAACTTTTTATTTAAAAAAATTTTTTAGAGTTTTATTTTGAGACAGGGTCTCACTGTCACCCAGGCTGGAGTGCGGTGGCACAATCATGGCTAACTATAGCCTCGACCTCCCAAGCTCAAGTGATCCTCCTGCCTCAGCCTCCCAAGTAGCCACCAGAACCAGCTAATTTTTTATTTTTTGTAGAAATGGGGTCCCAATATGTTGCCCAGGCTGGTGTCAAACTCCTGGGTTCAAGTGATACTCCCACCCCAAAGTGCAGGGATTACAGGTGTGAACCATCGCACCTCGTCTAGTATAAACAAACTTTTACATGTACTGGGAAACCAAAAAATGCATGTGACTTGCTTTATTATGATATTTGCTTTATTGTTGTGATCTGAAACCAAACCTGCAATATCTCGGGTTTGCCCGTGTTTGTGTGTGTATGTAAATATGTATGTGTGTGTGTATATATATGTTTAACAGAAAGTACAGCCAAGACAAGAATCTGAAAAACATTCGTAACGTATAAATGAGCCAAACTGGAAGGAAAAACAACCTATTTTTTTATATTCCCATCAAAATGGAAAGAAATCCTGTTCATGACACATACAGTATGGCCTAATTTGATTGCTATAACCTAATCAAATCCATTTCTGAGATACCAGAACTCAGAGTGACACGCATGGTAATGAGTCTCTTTCCCATACCTGAGAGTCCAAGTCTTCTCCTTTCATACAGAAGTTGGCATCAATGACATTCAGACCCACCAACAGACCAGCAATTATGGCTCCTTCTTCTTCCATCATGAGGGCATTGGGTTCATAGAATTCACTGTAAGAGAAATCCACGGAATTCCTTATTGTAACAAAAGTCTCAAAAATCCAGTGACGTAATCATGAGACAAGGACAAAAACGTTTGCTTCACGGTTGATTATAGTCATCTACAAAAATAGTTAAAAAATTCCAAAAAGAAAGGCTTTAATAAATATTTTATTTTTAGATAATAGGTGGATGTTGGCAAGTGGAACTGGAGAAAAATTTTTTTAAAAGAAAAAAGATAATAGGTGCATGAATAGATTCTTTAGATAATAGTCTCGCAGAAAGACATGTGATTGAACAGTGTTGTGGCTGAAGCAGGTATTCAGACTTTTCTGACATATTTGTACTTGTGATGTACCATCACATGATTTTGCAATCTTTTATGCATCTTAAAGCATTTGTTTGGTAGCTCGGCGTGGTGGTTCGCATCTGTAATCCCAGCACTTGGGGAGGCCAAGGCAGGAGGACTGTTTGTGACCAGGACTTTGAGACCAGCTTGAGCAACACAGTAAGACCCCATCTCTACTAAAAACAAAAAAAAAAATCTGAATGGATAAAAATTATTGGCTGGGCACAGTGGCTCACGCCTGTAATCCCAGCACTTTGGGAGGCCGAGGCAGGTAGATCACTTGAGGTCAGGAGTTCGAGACCAGCCTGGCCAACATGGTAAAACCCCATCTCTACTAAAAATACAAAAAATAGCTGGGTGTAGTGATGCATGCCTGTAATCCCAGCTACTCAGGGGGCTGAGGCAGGAGAATCACTTGAACACAGAAAGCGGAGGTTGCAGTACTCCAGCCTGGGTAACAGAACAAGACTGTGTCTCAAAAAAAAAAAAAAAATTTCGTGAAGACCCATAGATAATTAAATACTGCTTATATGCACCTAAATTACTAATACACACACAAAGAAACCAGTTATGTAATTCATATGATTTAACTATTGAATTCCTTGGTATTTACCCAAATGAGTTAAAAACTTATGTTCACATAAAAACCTGCATACATGTGTTTATAGCAGTTTTACTCTTAATTGCCAAAATTTGGGAGCAACGAGCAACCAAGATGTTCTTCAGTAGATGAATGGACAATGGCATATGACTTAGCACTAAAAAAGGGAGCTATCGCTGGGCGCAGTGGCTCACGCTTGCAATCTCAGCACTTTGGGAGGCCGAGGCAGGCGGATCACCTGAGATCGGGAGTTCAAGACCAGCCTGACCAACATGGAGAAACCCTGTCTCTACTAAAAAAAAAAAAAAAAAAATACAAAATTAGCTGGGCATGGTGGCACATGCCTGTAATCCCAGCTACTTGGGAGGCTGAGGCAGGACAATCGCTTGAACCTGGGAGGCGGAGGTTGCGGTGAGCCGAGATCGTGCCATTGCACTCCAGCCTGAGCAACAAGTGTAAAACTCTGTCTCAAAGAGAAAACTAAAAAAAAAAAAAAAAAAAGAAAACGGAGCTATCAAGCCACGAAGGTATTAAATGCATATTACTAAGTGAAAGGTGCCAGTCTGAAAAGGCCATATACTGTATGATTCCCACTACATGACATTCTGGAAAAGGCAAAACCATAGAGACAGTAAACCCCTGGAAACCACAGTACACTCGACAGTACGATCAGTGGTTATTAGGGGTTGTAGGATAGAGAGATGAATAGGCGGAGCACAGAGGATTTTTTAGGGCCGTGAAACTATTTTGTATGGTATTATAATGACATATGGATACATATCATTATACATCTGTCAAAATCCATAAAACATACAATACCAAGAGTAAACCTTAATGTAAACTATGAACTTTGGGAGATAATGATGCGTCGATGTAGGTTCATCAATTGTAACAAATGCACCACTCTTGTGGGATGTTGATAATGAGGGAGATTGTGCAGGGGAGAAGGGTATATATGAAAAATCTCTGTACCTTCTACTCAATATTGCTATAAATTTAAAACCACTCTAAAAAATAGTCTTTTAGATTTTTTTAAAAAACGAAACAGGCCGGGCGTGGTGGCTCACGCATGTAAACCCCACACTTTGGGAGGCTGAGGCAGGTGGATCACTTGAGGTCAGGAGTTCAAGACCACCCTGGCCAACGTGGTGAAACCCTGTCTCTACTAAAAATACAAAAATTATCCAGGCGTGGTGGTGCATGCCTGTAGTCCCATCTACTCGGGAGGCTGAGGCAGGAGAATCGATTGAAACTGGGAGGTAGAGGCTACAGTGAGCTGTGATTGCACCACTGCACTCTGACCTGGGCGACAGAGTGCGACTCACTTAAAACAAAACAAAACAAAAACCAAAAACCCAGTGACTTGAAGTATTCATTTTCAGTCAATTTGACATGATTGAAACAACACTGCAATCAATTTGTTTTTCTTTTTTTTTTTTTTTAAACGTTGTCTTGCTGTCGCCCAAGCTGGAGTGCAGTGGTGTGATCTCGGCTCACTGCAAGCTCCGCCCCCGGGGTTCACTCCATTCTCCTGCCTCAGTCTCTTGAATAGCTGGGACTATAGGCGCCCACCACCACGCCCGGCTAATTTTTTATATTTTTAGTAGAGACAGGGTTTCACTGTATTAGCCAGGATGGTCTCGATCTCCTGACCTTGTGATCTGCCCGCCTTGGCCTCCCAGAGTGCTGGGATTACAGGCGTGAGGCACCGCGTCCGGCCAATCAATTTGTTTTCAACAAGTTACCTGGGACTACTAAAGGTCAACCTCAATCACTGTTAATAATCAATATAATTCACTGAGATTAGTTCCTTATTTATTTTCTGATTCTCTCTAAAAGATATTAACAGGCTGGGCGTGGTGGCTCACGCCTGTAATGCCAGCACTTTGGGAGGCCAAGGTGGGTGGATCACGAGGTCAAGAGATCGAGACCATCCTGGTCAACATGGTGAAATCCCGTCTCTACTAAAAATACAGAAATTAGCTGGGCGTGGTGGTGTGCACCTGTTGTCCCAGCTACTCGGGAGGCTGTGGCAGGAGAATAGCTTGAACCCGGGAGGTGGAGGTTGCAGTGAGTGGAGATCCCGCCACTGCACTCCAGCCTGGTGACAGAGTGAGACTCTGTCTCAAAAAAAAAAAAAAAAGATATTAACAAATGACAAAATAGCACAAAAACAGCACATGAATGAGCTGCAAATTTACCATTTCTCTCAAAAACTGATCACATGCTATATTTGTTCTTTGATAGCCTCTGAAGGAAACTGAGTAGAACTGGAATGAACAAGGTTCTTTGACAGTTTATTGTCCCAAAAGCCTCACCTTATGAATTGGTCAGAAGTGGAATATGGCCGAATTCCAACATTCACACATTTCCAAATCTCAGCTAACTAAATGTCAGCTCCATGAACTTTCACAAAAACACATCTGTGTAATCACTATCCTGATCAGGAAAGAGAACAGTACTGGAATCCTAGAAATCAGTTCTTTCTCTCTTCCAATCTCTACCCGCACTTCTCCAAGGTAACAATTATCCTGATTTCTATCACCATAGATTGATTTTACCTATTTTTGACCTTTATACAATGGAATCATATAATAAAGATGGATAAAATAAAATAATGCTGTTTTGCCTCTCCCAGTTGTATCTATGATCCATCTGGAAGATTTTGTGATATTTTATATATATATATTTTTTATAGACAGAGTCTCATTCTGTCACCCAGGCTGAAGAGCGGTGGAATGCTCTTGGCTCACTGCAGTTTCTGCTTCCTGGGTCCAAGCGATTCTCGTGCCTCAGCCACCCAAGTGGCTGGGATTACAGGTGTGCACCACCATGCCCGGCTAATTTTTATATTTTTTTAGTAGAGACAGGGTTTCGCCATATAGGACTCCTGGCCTCAAGTGGTCTGCCCACCTTGGCCTCCCAAAGTGCTGGGATTACAGGTGTGAACCACTGCACTCGTCCAATTTTGTGCTATATTTGAATTTAATGCTACATATCAAGTTCTTGTCTTATGGAGCCTGGGCACATGCTAAGGTGCCTTCTGTTTTCTGGAGGTAAGTCTTGGCCTGCCCTGGAAAAGACCAATATATACCACAGTGACAGACAGAACACACATAACATAAATCATCCATTTGGGAGTATGTGTGTGTGAGGTATGAGAGAAAGTATCAGTGAAGCTATTATGAATCAACTGTTTCTGATCCACAAAAATGGTGAACTTACATGGTTTGACTTTATACGATGTAGAACATATCAAGGAAAGAAGAAAGTTCAAGGTGTTCATACCTGAGAAGTTCTTTCTTATTGATCAAAGCTTTCATATATTCTGAAAGTTTCTTTTGCATTAATGCCAAACGAAGCCAGGCTCTTCCTCTACCTACTGGTGTCCTACAAAAAAATCAAACAACTAAAAACACAAGCAACAGAAGCAAAGGCTACAGCAGAATCAGTTCACTTATTCTTGCTAATGGTGTTCCAGTGTAACAAGCACACTGAGGTGCTCCTTAGGACCTCTCCCAGCATATTCCTGGGCAAGGAATTTCTGTGTGTGGGCTAATGCGACCCAGGGGGGTGTTTGGGACAAATGCTTTCAAAAAGAATTACTGAATGTAACTACAATTTGAAGACTCAGCCTCTGGGAGACCCAACTAAAAATATTCCATCAGATTAATAATAGCAAATCCTTATAAATTCAGGTGGATTATATAAAAGTCCAAAGCATGAATGTGGACACAGGCAATCTAGGACTCTATCTGATTAAAATTAAACCAGTCTCATTTGGGAAGGTGGTCACTACTTCGTAGTTCTAAGGCAGGCTACAGTCACTAGCTCTTCAGGTTAATTTGACAGTTGTTTTAATCTTGACTCTCAAACCCACTGAATAGCTTTTTTCCCTAAGTCAAGTCCAGCATGCCACCCCCTTAGATACAATTTCTTGAGACACACTAAGTGATTCCCCCAAGTGCTTTAAAAAATAAGGAAATGTTTGGCATTTCAACAAAAAGACAACCTCTCTTAGATGGATAATTATCCCTCAAGAGCACAATTTTCTTAATATTCTGTATACCAATTCTCTCATATCAGCACCTATTCAGGACATCATGCATTTTGGATTGGAAGTCTTGCTCTTCAAGGGATAGTTAATAAGAATGCTGTTCCCGAGAAATGGAATTCAACCTTAGACTTACTTAAGTCCTGGAAGATCTTTAACACTTGCTGTTATCTCTGCGGCTTCTGGAACAAGCTTTTCTACCAGTTCTAGAGGTCCCCAGAAAGACTTATTTTGTCCAAGAAAAGTTTTTTTAGCTAAGGCAACAAAAATAAAACAGTATTTTAATATTCTTTACAACATAAGCATTCTCTCAATACACACACACACACACACACACACACACACACACACACACACACACA